TTTTAAATTTAAGGATTATTCAACCACCCATTGGACGTCATATCCGTTCAGTAGTAACTGATATAGGACTTAACTCTAGCATAGATCATAAGCACTTTTAAATATGGTGGCTGATTTTGTGCACACAATTATAAATAAGATGCTTGAAAGAAGATATCTACAGAAAACTTTTCCTAAAATAACACTGCTGCTACTAGAAAAAGATAGATGAATGAAAATAATGAAAAGACATTTCCGGGAGTAGTGCATGTAAGAACAATTAAAGAGTCAAGAAGAAAAAGGTTAACTAGCGCAGAAAATTTTCTTACACTATGTATGATTAAAGAGACTCATCATTGAAAATTACGAGTAAAATGTCGGAAATGGTCGGAATCAGGTAATCAGGTAATGGTCGGATGAAAAGTACACGTAACTTGTTAAGTTGTGCATTTATAGAATTTTACCTTAAGCTTTGCGCTAAATCCGTTCCACCAATTTTAACCGTGCTCCTTATAAAGTTGATAAAGTCCTAATTCGGAGAATAAATTCCTTATTAGGCCTCGAATTGAAACCTAAATAGGCTTTTCTAAAGCTTTGGAGTTTATAAAGTCCTTATTAGGACTTTATTTCTTCTAATTATGGCTTTTAAACTTCTTATTAGGACTTTATTTCTCCTATTTATGGCTTTTAAGCTTCTAATTAGGAGTTACAATGTCTTATCTAGTTTTTCATCTAATTAAGAGTTTATCAAGTCATAATTAGGAATTTATTTCTTATAATTTTGAGGTTATTTGTCCTTATATTTTCTAGATATGTCCTAAAAACACAATTCTTTTTCACCCCTCATATATGATATTTTCTCCTTAGAAGGAGTTAAATATCCTAACTAGGCTTCTATTTCTTATAATAAGACTTTTTAAACTCATTATTAGGAGTAACAAAGTCCTAATTATGCTTTAATAACTAGCCTTTTGATTATCACATGCGAATTAAGGTGTGGGACCCATGGTGTGTGATTTTCCTGTGTCATTTTTTTTTAACTAGTCCCAATTACAAATCACCATTATTATCATTTTATTATAAAGTGAGTCCGGCATCGTGTTTAATTTGATCTAATTAAATTAAAAACGGGAATGTATTTCTTGCTGGAGACATCATGCATCTTTTTTGTGTTATAACTTTTAGTGGTGTTCAGTTGAATTTTCGCGTAAATTTTAAACGGTGCTGATGTAAATAAAAATGTAAAAATATGTGCCAAAAACAAAAAATATGTCTTTAAAAGTTGGGTTTTGCTCTGTTCTGGGTGAAGAGATGCTAGAAAAGTTAAAATCGAAGAATATTTCCAAAATTGCAGAATTTATTTGCAAAGATCCGGAAGATATTGCTCAGTTGACAGGAATTCAGTACAAGGTAACGGATTCTACAGTGTTCTAATTAACAGGCATGACAAGATAATGAAGGATGGAGAATGAAGTTAAAAAGATCTTTGAAAGTAGATCTATTTTACAAATAACAGGGAGTTCCTGTTGCCTTACAGTTGTGAGAATTTTAATTGACTCTCAACATGTATGACTAACTCATACAATGGCCAACTCGTCCTTTATCAACTCGCCCCCAAAATCCACACCAATTTAATTGCACTACAAATTTTATACTTTTTAAAATGGAAAAGCAATTATCATGTTTAAGATAATGCACAAAATAAACTCCTTATTCAATAGTCTCATAGTTTAATGTCTCTATTTCTAAATGGCTTTAACAGATCTGATCAGGTACGTATATTAACATACGTACCTGATCTGATTAAAGTCAGCTCCTAAATAATACTACCCACCACCAATAGGTTGTTACCTCGTGATCTTTAGAACAGTCAATCATCGGCGAGCTTTCACAATTTTGAAAGGGATCATTTATGAATTTAACCGCTGGAAAACCAATACTGCATATGCAATTTTCGAGAACAAACATGGAGTTGTCCATGTAGCTGACAGGTAAACTGGCTAAACAATCTTGCCCATTAAAAATTGAGTCTATTATTTCCAGTTTATTTGTTTCAAATTACTTGAAACTGTTTTTTTCTAACAAAAAATCAACAATTTGTTTGACTTCCATTAACAACAATTTTTTGATATTTCATCTAATGCCTGTCTGATAGGATGGTTTGATTGCATGGCTGAAAATAGCTGTCTCAGAGTCAGGAAATCCGATTCACAATGAAGGTTGTGAAACATATACTGCACATGGCAATCAGATCTACATGTATCTAAGAAATAAGTAGATCTGAACTTTATCAGATTGTGTTATAAATCAAATGTAATGACAACTTTGTCAATGACTACTATTTAACAATGTGAATTTTCATAAAACAATTGTGAAAAAGGGATATTTTTTTGTTTGTAAATGGGGCCCTATTTTGATCCCATATCTGCATGGAAAATAAAAATGGAAGACAGATTTATTTTTAGAATGAATTTGTCAAAGAAATATTTTATTTATTTAGTGACGAAACAAAATGGATAAATTTAAAGAGGTCCCTTAGGTCATTCTTTCCTATCCTTTGGACAAAAGTTTTCAATCTGAAAAATATAAAGGTCCATTTTGGGCGGGGAAAAATTAAAACAACACCTGTAAATGCACATTACCTGTAAAAACAACCAATTAATGAACAAAGCTGCTGGGCCATGATTATTAGTGCCATGTGCAATTGTTTTCAGATTGTAATGCTTGTATTATTAATCAAAAGCTGCTTTTTAAGCTAATTTGCCCCTTTAAATCTAAAATTTTAAAAAAAAATCAATATTGACCTTTAATTTATTAATAATGTAAAAAAAAATGCTGAAGTTCCCCATTTATTTTAAAATACCCCTTTAAAATTTCACAAAGTTACAACTACAAAACATTAATTAAATTTTTTAATTTAAAATTAAAAAAATGCTAGCTAGTTAATGAACATCTTAATTACATTGTATTTGATTCTCTGGTATTTCAGGATATTGTATGTATAAGGAATGTTATTCTGGCCAAATATAGTAGTATAACAGTGAATGGAAGTGAGTTCTATAACAGTGTTGTTCAATCAACTACCATCTTAACAACAGGGATAAAAAGGTATATAATATGTCTGTCAATAGCTTATGTTTATCTAATATTTACTGTTGTATTATGAATTCTTACAGTATACTGTGTACTGAGATTATAATTTGTACTGAGTTTCTACTGTGTAATGAGTTTATACTATGTAATGAGTTTATACTATGTACTGAGTTTATACTATGTACAGAGTTTATACTGTGTACTGAGTTTATACTGTGTAATGAGTTTATACTATGTACTGAGTTTATACTGTGTACTGAGTTTATACTGTGTACTGAGTTTATACTATGTACTGCGATTATACTTTGTACTGAGTTTATAATGTGTAATAAGTTTATACTGTGTACTGAGTTTATACTGTGTACTGAGTTTATACTATGTACTGCGATTATACTTTGTACTGAGTTTATAATGTGTAATGAGTTTATACTATGTACTGAGTTTATTACTGTGGTACTGAGTTTATACTGTGTACTGAGTTTTAAACTGTGTACTGAGTTTATACTGTATAATGAGTTTATACTATGTACTGAGTTTATACTGTGTACTGAGTTTATACTATGTACTGAGTTTTTACTATGTACTGAGCTTATACTATGTACTGAGTTTATACTATGTACTGAGTTTATACTGTGTAATGAGTTTATACTATGTACTGAGTTTATACTGTGTACTGAGTTTATACTGTGTACTGAGTTTATACTGTGTACATGTACTGAGTTTATACTGTGTAATGAGTTTATACTGTGTACTGAGTTTATACTATGTACTAAGTTTATACTGTGTACTGAGTTTATACTGTGTACTGAGATTATACTATGTACTGACATTATGCTTTGTACTGAGTTTTTACTGTGTAATGAGTTTATACTATGTACTGAGTTTATACTATGTACTGAGTTTATAATGTGTAATGAGTTTATACTTTGTACTGAGTTTATACTATGTAATGAGTTTATACTTTGTTATGAGTTATACTATGTACTGAGTTAATACTATGTAATGAGTTTATACTATGTAATGAGTTTATATTATGTACTGAATTTATACTATGTACTGAGTTTATACTATGTACTGAGTTGATCAAGTTAATACCTTGGAGTGAATATACAGTTTTTACAACGTAAAGTGTTCATACTATGTAGAGAGTTTATACCATTAAGAGAGTTATACATGGAGTTTCTACTTTGTGATCAGTGACTTTATACCATGTAGAGTTTTTACTGTGTAGATAATTTATACCATGTAGAGAGTGAATACCATGTATAGAGTTTATACTATATAGAAAGTTTTAGTATTTTGTAGAATTGATTACTCTTCCAGACTGGACAATGTTTTAGATGGTGGACTGTATACGGGTGAAGTAACAGAAATGGCTGGGGATGTTGCTGCAGGAAAGACACAGGTATTATATCACTCTGTAATTTGAGCCGCGTCACAACAAAACCAACATAATGCGTTTGCGACCAGCATGGATCCAGACCAGCCTGCGCATACACGCAGTCTGATCAGGATCCATGCTGTTCGCAAACCCATTATGTTAGTTTTGTCATGATGGTGCTCATTTCTTTAGTTTGTTTTAACCCTAATCCTGCTAGAACTGAAATTGATTAGCCTTTAGCACCAGTATAGAATTAGGCCAAATTGCATATTAGTGCAATCTATCCAGGGTCAATATTGTTGGTTAGTTCAATTTTTAGGCCCATGAAGGGCGTCATATTGAATATTGCACTGTCTGTGTGTGTCCACTTACACAACATTTGTGTCTGAACTATAACTTTGTCATGCATGGAAAGATTTTAAAATAACTTGACACAAATGTCTACCACATCATGGTAATGTGTCACGTTTAAGGACCATGTCCCTCCTCAAAGGTCAAGGCCACACAGATTGAAGGTTCACATTCTCATAATAAGAGTTTAAAGGTACACACATTCTTGCCGAGACTCTTACTTTGTCATGCATAGAAGAATTTTAAAATAATTTGGCATAAATATCTACCACATGAAAACCCATGTCCCTACCTTCAAGGTCAGGGTCACACTTATAGTTTGAAGGTAAACTTATTCATTCTTACAAGAAGAGTTTGAAGGTACATATTTATGTCTGGACTGTTACTTTGTCATACATTGAAGAAATATGAAATAACCTGGCACAAATGTCTATCACATCAAGGCAATGTGTTGTGGCCTATGTCACTACCTAAAAGGTCAAGGTCACACTTAGAGGTTGAAGGTACACCACTTACACCAACCTCCACACAGTGATCTCCCCTTAATTCTTCGGCGTAGATCTCTGCTATATCAGAATTTCTGATACACTATATTTTTTTCAAAAATTGTTTTATCTACTGCTTTTATCTATCTCTCATTTATTTAACAATTTTTATGAATAAATAAATAAATAATATGAATATTTAGAAATAATTTCAAAAATTATGAGAATATTTTCTACTGAGACAATATTTTGATATTTTATATTTTTTAGCTTTTGAATTTATTTTTCGTTATTTTGTATACTTTTGGTAATTTTTTGATAACTTTATTGAACATAGGCACTAAAAGTTAAAAATAAAACAGAAAGAGAAAAATGACGTTAGATTTTCTATGTAACGGTCGATATTTACATTTGAATTTCGAAATTACGTCATGTGACTTTCATCATCATGTGACGTCTTTGAAGGCAGTGATTACAATTCTGCCAAGGGAGGTAATCACTGTGAGGAGTTTGCACTTGCACATCATTAGTGTCTGGACTGTAACTTTGTCATGCATTGAAGGATTTTGAAATAACTTACCACAAATGTCTACCACATCATTATAATGTATCACGTCTAAAACCTATGGTCCTACCTCAAGACAGATTTACGGCTTAAAGGTTGACATTCTCACTATTAGAATTTAAAAGTACACACTTTCATGTTCATAAAACCAAACTTAAAATCATAAAAGAGAGCTAAACATTTTGAATTGCCCACTCAAATTATGCTTATGTATGCTTGAACATTATGTGAGCATGTATCAATCTGTTATGACAACAAGCATTCAAAATGTTTTGAGATTAAAGACGTTTTTGTCACACGCAAAGCAAGCATACTTTGTTTCAATAAATATTTACGCCATATTTCCTCGTTTCTACAGATAACTATTTTAAGCCTTTTTGGTAATACCTCAATAGAGCACAGTAAATACAACAGCAAATAAATTCAAATTCACCAGAATAAGTCTGCCGTTCATTTTCATGCATGGAAGGATTAAATAACCTAGCATATATATTTACCACATCAAGACAAAGTGTCGGGTCAAGACCCATGTCCCTACTTCCAAGGTCAAGGTCACACTTTTAGTTTGAAGGTACTCATTCTCTTATTAAGAGTTTGAAGGTACACATTTGTGTCTGGACTGTAACTTTGTCATGCATTGAATGATTTTAAGATAACTCAGCACATTTGCATTTAAGATCCATGTCACTATCTAAAAGGTCAAGGTGGTAAATTGCCTATGAATATCACTTCATTTCAAAAGAACAATATACAATTAGCTACTTTTATTTTATTTTCTTACTTAATACCTTTCTGCAATACTTATGAAACGTTTTCAGAGGCATTCATCACTTTTGTGAGACAGATGTTGTTGTATTTTAATTCTTAAACCCCTTATAATTTGAATAGGCTCTTCCAAATTCAAAGCAGGGCAAATCCATTTCATAAACTTATCAGTGTAAGGGTTAAACACAAATTCATTTATAGTGTACACTGAAAACCCATAAATAAGTGACACCCCAAGGGGGGCATCAGTGGCCAAGTAGTAAAGGTTGTTGACTTCAAACCACTTGCCCCTAACCACTGCAGGTTCAAATCTTTCTAGGGACTTTTGATTCTTTTATGTGTGGAAGCTTACCAGCTAGCAAATAGAACATCTGTGGTTCTACTCAAGTTCCAGTTAGTGCCTGTTATGATGTACAGAGGGGCACATGAGGTCTTCCTCCGCTTGAAAACTTGAAAGTCTCCATGACCTCTACGAGGTTGGAGCGACCTTGCCCCATTGTATGCAAAAAAGTAAAAAAAATATAGTTGGGCTACAATATTAAAACTGGACTCCTTTCAGTGATTTATATTTTCACTCAGTACTCAGTTTTATAGAAATTAATATTCTGTCAATTTCTACCTGAACATAATTGATTGAGTGATTATCAGCTATACTTTTTGAAGAAAAAAATATGAGGTTATGTTATGATCAACACATAAGTGTCCACATTGGGTAACCTTTTGTTATTGAATTCAAACTCAGGAAACATCATCTCTCAAACAAAACAATCTTTGTGTTGATGTGTCATTTCAGATCCAATTTCACCAACCAAGTTTAATTGTCGCTATGTGCATTTATGTTTTGTTTTATATACATTATCATCATTTTATTTATTAAAGCCATTTTTGTGGGTTGCATGAAAGTTTCATAATCCAAACTCAACATATTAGTTTTATTAACTATTTATTAATTAGATTAAAATTGAAACATGAGTTGTTTTTTTATTTTCAGGTATTATTCAGTGTTTGTGCAGCAACAGCCAAGCAAGCCAATCAAACAGTAGTTTATATTGACACTGGTGCTGTCTTTTCAGCTAGTCGTGTTCTTCAAATGATTCCAAATAACTCTTCTATAAAGGTATGATATATCCATTATGGTTTTATACAAAGTACTATTATTAAAATAACATGTGTCTCTCAGGAAAAAAGTGCATATTAGCAACCTGAGAACTGAAATAACTACCAAGGTAGAGTTATTTCAGTTCTGAGGTTGCTAATATGCACTATTACCCTGAGAGACACATGTTATTTTTTTTATTATAACAAACCAACATTTTAATGTGATTTTTCACTGCTATGATGAGAGCTATTTATTCATCGTTGATTGTCAGGGGAGAGAACTGACACATTATGTTTTCTTAAGTCTATATAGATTACTTTCCCCTTGGGAATATTGCAAATAATTATTGACCTGGTGATATTCATTTCCAGGATGATAGATCAAAATAACATCATGTGACATCACATTTATGATTAGGCTATATAGCAAAAAGTTTATATGAGGTATAATTATAAAACAATATAACATTTCAAAGTCAAATATTATCTGTTAAACTAATATATACATGTATATATTACAGGAAGATATTCTATCAAGGATACATGTATACGATGCTTTCACTATACATGATGTATTTGGGGTACTGGACAGTATTGAGGGTAGTATACAGGCAGCAAGTGACCCTTTTTACAGTAAACTCAAGTTAGTCATAGTGGACAATATAGCCTCAGTTGTTTACCCATTTCTTGGAGGAAGTTCTTTCTCAGAGAGTAGGTCTACTTGTATATATATCATGCATATTATGAAAGAAACAAAGCCATGAGCAGGAAGTTATACATAGAAAAATCAGCATGTCACAACCTGGACTCAAACTCACCTTGCTGTTCACCTACTTATTTTTTATTAAAGTTTTTTTTGTGCAGTAATATATTTTCTATTGTAACTATTGTCATAGTGTTCCTTATTTGTTTAGCCCTAGTACCTATACTTAAAAATGGAAATATTTACTGTATTTACTTCTTCATATATGCAATAGAGAGATTTACTTTAAACTTTAAATGTATCATCACCCACATAGTATTTCATACAGTTCATTAAGAATTATCTCCCTTGAGAATGATAAATTTAGTAAGAAATTAATAAATTTTCATTTTCACTTATTATACTGCCCCCACAATTCATGCACTTTTGGTTTAAATTCATCTGGGCTATTGGGACAAAACCATCAAAATGAGCTGTTTTAATGTATGAGTACAATCAATTAAAATCGGCTCTTATCAATTAAAATCATGAGTTCCAAGAATATCAAGATGGTGACTATCAAAATGATTAATTGATTAAAATGAAAAGGAATTCATCAATTTGGAGTAGCCATGTATATTAATAATATAATCATCACAGTTGTCAAATGAAATTGGATGTTACAAACTTGCAATATTATAAAGTTACTCCTCTTGTAGGTCAAGGGTTGCTTTCACTACTTGGACAGAAATTAAAATCCCTGGCTGTAGAATACTCTGTTGCTGTAATGGTGAGTTTTATTTTTCATGACCACTTGCATCATTTTGTTGTTAAAGTTGCTAAAATTCTATAATTAACTTATTAAATTTGGAAACTCCCTAAGTAATTAACCATTAAGCTGCCAGGTGTGAAAGTGATAAGTCTTTTGCCACCAGTATAAAGCCAGGCCAGCCTGAGCATCTGTGCAGTGTCACCAGGTTCTATATTGTCCGATGTGGGGTAGCAAATTTCATGCTGATAACCCAAAATTGATAATCATTCATAACAGACTTGATATATTTAAGACAATACACATATAATGATTTTATGTATATGTTCCTAAATTATATGCTCATTTACTATAAAATGAAATATGCTCATTTAGTATTTTTAAAATGAATAATACTCATTTAGTATAAAATGAAATATGTGCATTTAGTATAAACTTAAATATGCTCATTAAGTATAAAATTATATATGCTCATTTAGTGTAAAATAAAATATTCTAATTTATTATAAAATGAAATATACTCGTTTAGTATGAAATTATATATGGTCATTTAATATAAAATGAAATATGCTCATTTAGTATGAAATTAAATATGCTCATTTAGTATAAAATGAAATATGCTCATTTAGTATAAAATGAAATATGCTCATTTAGTATAAAATGAAATATGCATAAATATGCTAATTTAGTATAAACATTAATATGCTCATTCAGTATAAAATGAAATATGCTCATTTAGTATAAAATGAAATATGCTCATTTTGCATAAAATAATCGGTAGTTTACTGTTACAGATCACAAACAATGTTGTGAAAGGTGATCAAGGAACTAGGACAGCATCTCTAGGTCGACTATGGTCTCACATCCCCCATGTTAGAATGATTGTAACACATACAGATCAGTATGGAGGCAGTACAAGAAATGTTACAGTTGTAAAGAATTCTAGAGGGGTAAGAAACATGAGAAAAATTGTAAAGGTACACAGCACATATAAAGTTTAAGGGGAATGATTGTATATGAATTGGGAAAATATGTGAACAATTTTTGATGGGTAAGGCATTTATGGAAGAAATTTAAAGGCCTCTAAGGTCCATGTACAGAATTTTAAAGAGGTAAGGGATTTGGTGTGAAAATAATTTGAGGGGTTATGTAGGATTTCAGAGAAGTAAGAAATGTTCAAGAATTCAAGAGCAGAAAGAAGTCTGCTGTGCAAAAAATTATGAATTGTAAGGCACATATCACAATGTGAAAATTGTTAAGAGGAATAAGGAATTTGATGAAAAGAATTCTTTAGAAACAAGGAAAATGTTGTCAAGAATTTTAGAGGGGTGATGCACATGTTAAGAATTCTTTAAGGATAAGGACTCTGTGAAGAATGTAAAATTGGAAAAGTTTCTTAATGGTCTGTATTGAATTACATTCTTTAAGTTTCCTAAAGGATTTCTATTTTAAGTTTATACTACATATTCATGTACATAGTTATATAGAAACTACTCATTTAATTCAAAGTATTGAGAAAACCTCATTGTTGAATAATGAATAATATGTTGGTGTTTTAGAATATTTTGATACTGAACTTGAAAATCCATGTAATTATTGATTCTGAAGTTGAAAATCCATGTAATTATTGATTCTGAACTTAAAAATCCATGTAATTATTGATTCTGAACTTAAAAATCCATGTAATTATTGATTCTGAACTTAAAAATCCATGTAATTATTGATTCTGAACTTAAAAATCTATGTAATTATTGATTCTGAACTTAAAAATCCATGTAATTATGGATTATGAACTTAAAAATCCATGTAATAATTGATTATGAACTTAAAAATCCATGTAATTATTGATTATGAACTTGAAAATCCATGTTATTATTGGGTCTGAACTTGAAAATCCATGTTGTTATCAAGTTTATTTATTTGCATAATTATCATTGTATATTATATTTACAGGGATGCAGTGTCTGTGGAGAGCTTAATATTGGGGATAATGGTCCCATCACTTGATGCCCAATGACTAGTCACTACAGAATTTATTGTTTACAGTTGTACTACCTTTACAGTACACATAAATTATGATCATTGAACGTTGGAAGACTCCACATGATTTTGAAGATTGATATTACATTATATCTAGTTTAAAAACATTAAAAACAGAAATGAGCAATTTATTGGTGAAAGAAATGAATAATGGTCGCCTGGTATGATATAAATTGGGTACCCCATGGTGGTTAAAGACATGATACAAAATGGACTGCATGTAATTTGTATTGCATTATATGTGTTTTATGTCTTGAAAATTTGGAAAACAAAGGAAACGTTTCATTCTGGTTTCTTATATGATTTTATGTATATAAATAACAAAGAGATGCTTTCCTGACATTGGATAAGAACATGAAAATACCATGATAGGACAGTTTTTTTGCATTTTGTATAGTTTACATGTATTTTGCCAGTTTATGATACACATATCCATCAATGGACTTAAGCACTTGAAGAGAAGGAAAGCAAAATCTAACTTTCTGTTTGATCTTAAATGAAATGAATGGCATTTATACTTCATGTGATATGAGATCATCTGTGCTTTATGTGGCATGAGATCATCTGTGCTTTATGTGGCATGAGATCATCTGTGCTTTATGTGACATGAGATCATCATTCTGTGCTTTATGTGATATAAAATTATTTGTGTTTTATGTGAAATAACAGTTTGAGTTCACCCCACCCAGCCAGGCATGAAATATTTATGAAGGGATATCTTGTGGGCTCCTTATGTTGCACATATCATTACCTTGTGATTCTCTATGAAAGCCATATACATGGACATTTAAATCATACCCCGGGATTTAAAATTGGGTCCTACCCTTTGGTTCACTTAATTTAGTTTATATAGACTTATATTGAAAAACATAATAATTCAGATCTTCTTAGCTGAAACTCCATAGCTTTGCCAAAGCCTTTGGCTTACATTAATTCTCTACTTAAATTTATATATGAACTATGATCCAGTCTTCAAATAGTGACCTTGCCTCAATATTACCCCATTATCTACTTTTGGATTGAAGAATTTTTACCTTTTTTAACAATGGATCTCAGGTGAGCGATGAAGGCCATGATGTGTTCAAGAATTACTGTAGATTTTTATGTAAAATATGAATTTTTAATCTGTTACAATATGCAATAGTTGAGCATTTGTTTGTCTTTTTTCTTGTTCTTGCTTTTGATTATAAAATTAGTATAATTATTAATTATAGTTATTTCTTAGTTTTACTTTTGTTTACTTTCCAACAGGTACAGTGTATATATAGTAAAATAAAGTTAATCAGTCTTGAATGCTCTCTCTCTCCTCTGACAGCTCTTGTGAGGGAAAATATCCTAAACTTTTTTGTCAGGAAAACATTCCCATGGGATCAGGATCTTCCAAATTTGAAAGACCTGATTAAACATAGGACCTCTTACAAATTAATGTACAAACTACATGGTACTTTGGTCAAAGTTTTAAGTCCTCATCAATACATGTAGGTTATTTGATTTGTTTTAAGTAAAATTGTCTAATTTTGTCATTGATTATAGCAATTTTTTGTCTAGTCAGTGACTATTTTATCTACCAAAATGTCAAACTGCTGGCAGGAACGTCAATATTTAGTGTTTTATTAATTTAAACCCGTCCCCAAAATGTAGACCTGTGTATGGAGCTTGAATATTAAATAGGCCTACAGTACCCTTATGTTGGGTGCATTTGGGTCAAGGTCACCATGACTTATTCTAAGAGTTTAGTTTTCTTAATAAGAGGCTTCATTTAAATTAATTTTGTTCAAACCGTTTTGCTTTTATTTCCACTATCCAGTGCCCATATTGAACAATATTTAGTAGTGTTCAACCTTTATTCAAAGACTAACTGAACGGTGTCGATGTAAAAATTATTTCATTATCATTATGTCGCTGCGAATTATTTCTCAAAGGTTTTTAAGATCTCATTTACTTATACCAGTAGAGCTGCAATGCTGCTGCCAAAGAAAATACTCAGTAAAGTAAGTTTCCATGTTTTATATACTTAACAAACGCAAATGACCTTTTCCAAAATATCTATATATTCGGATACTGTCGATTCGGATATTGATTCAAGGTTTAAACGAGAATTATCATGCAATATTTTCATATTCAGTGAATTAAAATAGATTTGAAAAAATATGTAGTTAAATGTATCTTATTGTAATGACATTTTACCTTACTTGGTATGCACTGAAAATGCGAATTATCCTACATTTCTCACGAAACATTGATTTGAGCCGGTATGCCTAAAATACGAAAGTGAGATTTTTGACAAAAGTGAGCGAAAGTGACTTTTAGAATTTGAATTGTACCGTTTTAATAGAATTTTACAGTAAAATTGCTATTTGCAGACGTATATTATTAGCAACTTATAATATTTCTTTTCAAAATTAATAACTATGATGATTTAATCGCCATTTATTTGCATAATTTCTATACACAAGTTCTTCCTTTCGCTCACTTTGAAAAATACGAAAGTGACTTGTAAAATATTAAATATAGAGTTTAAATTGAAATTTATACTAAAATTGCAGCTTGTAGACGTATATTATCAGAAATATATAATATTTATTTTCAAAAATAATCATTGTGATGATTAGTTTTGGCTTCCAAAACTTTATAAGCCGCTTTTTAACATTTTTGTTTTTCATCAGATGCGGCATTAAAGTTTTGGATTAGACCCGTTACGAAACCTAACCAGAATAACATAAGTTGTTTTATTCTAGTTTTTCACTTGCAAATACACTTGACCCGATCAATTCTTGTGCATTTTACGGTAAAACAATTATTTAAATATCGTTCTATACCAATTCAAGTAATAAAATATCAATACCGTCATTAAAATTGCCTATTTAACTGTAAAACATCAATTTTCGCCGACTACAGCCGGCCATGACATTTAAGTGCCACGCGAGACCTCGTATGACGTCATTCGCGGGAACAGATTTGAATAGAGTTGTGTACTATATTTAGAACATTTTGTTGACATGATTTCGATATTTTTATTCAAGATAATGTTTTTATTTATTTACATTTTTTTTTAGTATTTAATTATGATTTTATTGACTATAACAGTCAGTAAATAACCATTTTCAACATCTTAAAAAAAGTAATCTATAAAAATATTGGAGGCACATGGGTTCATAAAGGTCAATCTCGTAATCACGTGGTCAAACATTTTGACAATATGGCGGCCAAGTGCCGAAATTTTTACCAGTCGGAAACTATTGGGTAGTTTATGTTCCTAATAAGATTTTTATTTGCCCATCCTTGGCTTATCAACAGATTATATATCGTTTTATCAAGGTATGCTTCACTTCGTGGCATGTTCGATAAATAAATACGAGCGTGTCAGATTCCTGGCAAGATTATTGGTGGACTTTCCCTACGGGGTTATCTTCAGCGTTCACATCATGTCATATATATAAACGGGTACGCTGAAGACCTTAAGCTATGTGATGATTAAATCACCAATTGTTTGCATAATATCTATACACAAGTTCTGAGATCTTCCTTTCGTTCACATTAAATAATACGAAAGTGACTTGTCAAATATGAAATAAAGCGTTGAATTGAAAGTTATACTAATATTGCATTTTTCAGGCCTATCTTATCAGAAATTAATATTAATTTCTTATAATATACAGTCAAAACTGCCATAGTGACCCACTGTATTCAGCGACTTCCTGTCTTATGTGACCCTATTTGGGTCCGCCCAACGATTTTGGCTATAAAGTTGCACTGTATTAAACGACTCACCGTGTTACGTGACTAGCGACCGTGATTTGAACGGTCCGGAACGGGCTAAGCACTGTTTTTAGCGACTATGTTATGAAAGACAACTCTGTTCGTACTTCCTGTTTCGTTGAAAAAAAAATGTCGGAAAGAAAGAAAACACGTATTGTTTTAGATCTTCAACAGAAATATGAAGCCTTACAAAAATTGGATAAAGGAATACCGGCGTATAAAGTGGCAGAAGAACTTTGTGTTGGAAAAACACAAATCCAAAACCTTCGTAAACGTAAATTGGAAGTAATTTCGGACTTTGAAAATAATGTTCCGTTGAATTCTAAACGTCGGAGACATGCAACTGGTAACGAGAAAATCAATGACTTAACCTTGACTTGGTTTCAGGATGCAGTGAAAAGAAAAATTGTGGTTACAGGTCCTTTGTTAAAAACAAAAGCATTAGACTTTGCATCCAAATTAAATATTTTTGAATTTAAAGCATCAAATGGTTGGCTAGAAAGCTTCATTAAGCGCAACAATATTTCTTTCGGAAGCATGAGTGGTGAAAGGGGTGACGTCAAGCAGCATACAGTGAATGAATGGAAATCTCGACTTCCAGATCTGTGTAAAGACTATTCTGCTGATAACATTTTTAATATGGATGAAACAGGGTTGTTTTTTCGGGATACATCAAGAAAAACTTTCCATTTTAAAGGTGATGATTGTTCCGGCGGTAAACGATCAAAAAGAGAGGATAACAGTTGCTCTCTGTGCCAGTTTAACTGGTGAAAAGTTAAAGCCCCTTGTCATAGGCAAATCAAAGGAGCCTAGATGTTTTATAAGAATAAGGAAAGAACATTAACCTGTTGATTATTATTTTAACAAAAAAGCTTGGATGACTGGTAAAATTTACCAAGACTTTCTTAAAAATGTTAATCGGAAAATGAAAATGGATAAAAGAAAGATTCTTCTGTTTGTTGATAATGCCCTGTCACACCCAAATATGGATCTGAGCAACGTCAAGGTCCAGTTCCTGCCACATAATACCACTTCCCTTACCCAACCAATGGATCAGGGAATAATCCAGGCTACAAAACTAACTCAAAATTAGGAAACGTCAGGTACTTTATTATTTTATTCAATTGTTGTCATATTGCTTGATCAAAGAATGACTGTAGAATTTATATCTATCATAACAAAAACAGTAGAAATTTATTTTTTTTATTCATTTAAATAACTTAAATTTTGTCGGTTGTTTCCTTAAATACAGTAGAATATTTATTTTAATTATAAAATAATAATAATAATAATAAAAATGATGTCCAATCTTAATGACAATCATTTCAACATGATATTTGTGGAAATTTTAACCCCCTTATATTTTTCTTTATATTTCAGCTTATTCACATTGTGAAAGAAATGGACAGGCAGCCCAGCTTAGGAGGAACTGAGTTACTGAAACAAATCAGTATCCTAGATGCAATCTACTGGCTTTCAAATGCTTGGGATGAAGTGACAGAATTAACAATTCAAAAGTGCTTTAAAAAAATCAGGGTTTTGCAAATGATTTTAGTAAAATCGATCAAAATGAATCAGTATGTGCAAGTGATGAAATTGAAATTGGTAGTAACACACTAGGTATTGAGCAACAACATCAAGATGTTATGGATGATGATGATGATGATGTTCCACTGTCTGCCCTAAAAATGTCATATGAAATTTTTGGGTGCTCGTTCAATGATTTGCTACAAATTGATAATCAGCTTCACACTTGTGATACAGAAAGTATAAATTGGGACAAACCTGTATGTGACATATTGACTCAAATAAATGAGGAAAATTCTGATGACAGTGAAGATGAAATTGAAGAGATGGATGACGCTCAAGGGTCTGTCATGCAAAATGCTCCATCACTGACCCAAGCAAATGAAATGGTGTTTCAACTGAAATCTTATGCATTGCAACATGGACATGCCAGTATAATGTACCATTTGTCAAAACTAGAGGATGAATTTTCAAGTCTAGTTGCAAGCAAAAGTAAACAGTCAAAAATAAGTGATTTTTTCAATAGGACAACTTAAATGAAAGACAGACTGTGATTCTGGCATTATTTTATTAGTTTCATAATCATGAATTTTAAATATCAATAACATTGTAAATGTATAAATTTTTAACATGGTAAAGAAACAATATAATTCTGACATTTTAATAATTTTATTTAATATATTAACATTAATTTTTAATAATCAATTTTACAATCAAATATTCAATAGCATTTTACATGTATACAAATTTAACTGTACACACTTTTACTGCTCTTATCATAAATAAATGTTTTAACACTAAACGTTTATGCTGTATTAGTATTATTTTAATAGTGTTTGGATGTTTTACTGTAAACCTGTATTAAGAGACTCCCTGTCTTATGTGACCTTCTGAAGAAAGTCCCCTGTAGGGTCACATAAGACAGTTTTGACTGTACGTCTAGAAACTGCAAATTTAGTACGTTTTCAATTTAAACTCTCTTTCTAATAGTTTACAAGTCACTTTCGTATTTTTCTATGCAAGCAAAAGGAAGATAACTAAACTTGAATATAGAAATTAGGCAAATAAACGGTGATTAAATCATGATTATGGTTATTAGTCCCCTACTGGTTTACCGGAGGGGACTTTAGGTTTACCCTCCGTCCGTCTGTCCGTCCGTCTGTCCGTCCGTCCGTCCGTCTGTCTGTCAGTCCGTCAGTCCGTCCGTCCGCAAAACTGGATCCCGCGATAACTTGAAAAGTACTGAAAATATTTTTATGAAACTTGGTATATGGATAGATGGCAGTATGGAGATTATGCACGTCTTTTTCTTTTCTTCCTATGTTGAAAATTCTGGTTGCTATGGCAACAAATAGGCTGAAAATATGGCAAATTTTACACATAAACTGGATCCAGTGATAACGCAAAAAGTACTGGAAATATTTTTATGAAACTTTACATATGGGTAGATGGCAGTCTTGAGATTATGCACGTCTTTTTCTTTTCTTCCTATGTTGAAAATTCTGGTTGCTATGGCAACAAATAGGCTGAAAATATGGCAAATTTTACACATAAACTGAATCCAGTGATAACTCAAAAAGTACTGGAAATATTTTTATGAAACTTGACATATGGGTAGATAGCAGTCTTGAGATTATGCATGCCTTATCTGTTCTTCCTATTTTGAAAAAATATCAGTTGCCTTGGCAACAAATAGGCTTAAAACATTGCAAATATAACAATATTTGTGATTAGTCAAAAAGAGCTGAACATTTTTATGAAATTGCATCTTTAATTCAAGAGTTATCTCCTCTTTAAGAATTTTGCTTTTAAAATGGTATATTTTGGTAACAGGGATGTTTCAAATATTAACTTTAGAGTGTCTTTCAGTCCGTCTGTCTGTCTGTTCATAAAAACTGTATCCTGTGATCACTTTTAAAGAACTTTTCCAATAGAGAAAAATTGAAACATTAGTGAATGGCCAATGGCCCTTCAGAATGTTGATGGGGTTCGAACCGGTAGGGGACTTATGGATTGCTTGCAATACTAAGATAATTGCTTGTTTATTATAATATATATAATATGTTGCTAATAATATACGTCTTCAAACAACAATTTTAGTGTAAAATTCTATTAAAACGGTACAATTTAAATTTTAAAAGTCACTTTCGCTCACTTTCGTCAAAAATCTCACTTTCGTATTTTAGGCAAACCCGATTTGAGAATGTGATTCTGGCCAGTGATGATAATTATTCTACTTATTTAGACAATGTAGCTACTTATTTTGATCGCTTCATGTTTGCAGTTATACAAAGAAATGCTTACTGCATAATAGCAGTAAGCATTTCTTTGTATAACTGCAAACATGAATATTAATAAAAAAATCTCACTTTCGTATTTTAGGCAAACCCGATTTGAGAATGTGATTCTGGCCAGTGATGAGCCTAAAAATTATGGCATGTATGGATAATACAATGGTAAGAGCCAATGATATATCAAGTTTTATCATTCATATTGGATTTTCACATTCGCCTTTAGCAGAGGTGAGATAGATATTGGCCCAAACAAATAAAATTATCTATCACAGTATCACAACTCCTAAGATTAATTACTAGAATTAGTTGAGCAAATCACTTATAAAGTGGTTTCTGTATTTCACATTAATTCCAAGAGATATATCATTGGCTCTTACCATTGTATTATCCATACATGCCATAATTTTTAGGCTCATTTCCGGGATACTTTTTATTTATTGTTTCTAAAATTTACATAGTGGTAAACATCCTATATTACCAGTATTTACAACTTGCAAATTTAATGGCAACATAAACAAGACAAAATGTCAATAAATATTAACAGTTTTTCAATCTTTTTTCAAAGTATTAAGGCATTGTAAATTCAATCAGTCACAGAAGAAAATGAAGCTATGTTAAGCAAGGACAATTAGCCAGGTTGCTTACCTGAAACAATCCTGTAGATTTCATCACCTCATATTTAGCGGTAATTTTCACGGTGTCTGACCACTAATACCTGCCTGCAGGCGGATTAAATTTATGCTGGCCATTTGTTAATTACGGTGTATGACACCTTCGCTCAGGAAGCCACAGGGGGTAAACAATTAATCTTTTAATCGATCAAAATTATTACCGATAATTGTATGTTGGAAGGGGCTAATAGATTTACCAATCAAAGGATTATTGTCACCATTTACTGTATATTGCAATGCTGCATGGGGTTAATCGTTTGTTATTAGTGTTCTAGAATAGTTAATAAAAACTTGACAATAAAATCATATTAAAATGTAAAATTTCTGGCTACAAAGTAAATTATTTTAGTTTTTTTTTACCGAGACATAAATCTCCTGGTAAGACACCTTAATTCCGTGACTTTCCCGGAAGTCCGAGACGTTATGGCATGTATGTATTATCACATGACTACAGTCATCGAATTTAGCACCCATGGCCAGTGAAAAATAGTTCGGGCCAGTGAAAATTTTAAGAAAATTTAGTTAAATATATAGTAGAATAAATTAAAAACTGGAATTCGACTAGTAAATTCAAAATCTTAAATTCATTCAGGCGTTTTTTTTTCTAACAAATTGACACCAATAGTCGGCGTCTTTCCCTCAGTAAATAACCAAGTTTTTCCAAAAAAAAATCATACTTTCCTTTAAACTGGATCAGATTAAATATTATATGGTTTATAATATTAATTTTATCAAGGATGACCTACCAATTGTAGTCCAAAATAACCAAAACATTGCAGGAAACTGCAAGTAAAATCTCAACATGGAGGCTGCCATTTTTTCTTGGCTATATCCCGTTCTGAACGGTACTATTTCTGGAAATCAGTTGCTCTTAAAATATTATTCTCTTGGTTATTTTTAGTAAAGTAATATATTTTGTATTTCTTATTATGAAAATGATTTGTATGGAGCTAAAGTATGTCACAGACACACTATTATACCTATAGTATACTGTATTAAATAATTTTCACACAAAAATGAAAATATAAAAACCATTCATCACCATGCATATTAATATGTAATACTGCAAAGAATATGTTACATGATGATGCATGCTGACAAAGTTTTTAAAGGGAAGAATATTTTGCATGCTGATAAAGTTTTTAAGGGGAAAAAAAAAACTTGGTTGTGACTCTCTACTATGTAGTTTAGTATATAGTATAAAATAACGTCATAATTTTCCTCAAATTGACTTATTTCATATATTTTTTCCCCTCCCTACCAGCGTCTTCCCCTTTTCCTAAAAATACACCCTGTCATTGACTGTGACTATGATTTAACTGTCTTGTCATCATATGTTTGTTTAGATAGGTAAATATGCGAATTGTGATTCTGAAGCATACTCATTTCAGTGATTTTTTTTCTAATTTTTAAAACAACCTGTGGCTTTCTGAAGGGGGAAATATAGCGCGATAAATCAGAAAAGGGGGAAAACCTGAAATCAAATTCCAACAACTGAAAATGGAATTTACCCACACATTTTATAAGAAAAAATATTTCAATTCAATTAAATATGCATGGTATATAGCAGGGGCTATCTATAGGGTCAGATTTCTGTCTTCAAGCTCATGTAAGTCAGATGCTGTTAGGTCATGGTTTGGTAGGGAAGATCACAAGGCATTTAAGGGGAAAATATTAGCATTTTTAGGGGAAAATACACCTATTTTGGGCTAGGGGAAACAGCCTTTATTCGGCTGTGAAATACAGTAAAAAAAATCACTGTCATTACTACCTAGTTGATTACAAAAATCATCATTACAATTATACAAATAAATTATTGTGACAATGTGTATGTTCTTATGTTATTCAGACTTTACCCAATGGGAAAGTTCCAGGAACCCAACGAGAAGGCAGATTCTTATATGCCTGGACAGGTAAGTGTCTTATGTTTCATAATGTTAATATGGCAAGACCATAAATACACAATGTGCACTCTTATTGCATTAATTCATTAAAGTTTGGATTACCCTAAATGTATAAAGTAGCTTTCAAAATGACAAGTGCCATTGATATTCTGGACAAGCATAACAAAAAAATCATGATTTATATATATTTTTTAAATTAACAGAAACCCAAATTATTTATATTGTATGTACATGTATTATAATGACACTTGTTTCTTAAAGTGTTTTGTGCATTATCCTTTCAATTTGATGAGAGCTACAGGAGAACATTTGATGGTTTGGCGTGTTTATTTGACTGTTGAGTTTTTTTTGTGGAATGAAAGCATTCATGAAAAATGATGAATTTATTTTCAGATGTTCTTCCACAAGGTGTTTGCATACAGAGGAGTAGTGCTGCAGTCCTGGCAAGCTAGAGTATATGACAATGATGAAAAAGATAGGTAATTATGACAGTGCATTATTGTAAATAAACTTATATAATACTGCAGGTAATGTCAACTTTCATTGGATAATCATGATATTTAGAAAACCTGTTGTTAATTTATGAACTAATTTTTGAATATCCACAAAGGAAGAAACTGTGTAGGATTACAAATTGGTTACATATTTGGCAGGCTATATGGTCTTGTATTAATGATTGTTGGCCATATAACCTTCACTGAGAGGCTAGGGTTATATAATCTTACAACCATTCATTTCTGGGAGAAAAGTCCTTGAAAAGAACTGTATGATTGAAATTCTCAATATTGATACAGTTACTGTTTAAGAAACATTGTTTACATGCAAACAAAGAACAATTGAATTATACTCTAACCTTGTTAATATCAAATTCTGATAATCTGTAGCAACTTAATAGAGTTTTCCTTTGATCAACAATACATGAATTTGTTTTGTTTTGAGAAGGTCCTAAAATGTTCGACTGTTTTTATGTGCCTATATTTTCTCTAAGACTTACACTGAAATATTCAATGTATAATTTTTTATTTTCTGTTCTTTAGGACAGGAAGGACAATAAGGTCAAAAAGAAAGACACAACTTTACTACCAGGTTCTTGTTGATAAAACAGATTCTCAGTTCATAGTAAGTATATGTAGTAATGATGGTCAGAGATAATAAACAAAGTCACATAGCGCAGTAGTAGATTGATAACTTATCTTTTCCATCCGAAAGACAATTTTACTATTTTTCAAAATGTGTCATTGCTTTTGGAATTGGTTCAGAAAATGTGTAGTGGAATGCAAAAATGGGGCTTCTTGACGTTGACGTCGTTATCGAGAAAATGCGAGATCTTTGACGCCATTTTTTTCCTCATTATTTTTCCGTTCATCTGGCAGTAAAACAGCGCTTAATTATATAATATATGACTTGTCAGCACATTAGGTGCTGATTCATACAGAGTAATCAACGGCGAAAATAATTTGCTACCGTTCATCCTATGACAGCAAGTAAAATTATCACGGGAAAAGATTTTTACGAGGACAACTGATTACGTCATCTGACATTGATTGTCGATAAAATATTGGTGAATTGATTCGATGTTTTAAAGATATTTTACACTGACAACGTCTGCTTTGACAAAACTTATATATAACTGGATTATTCGGGTTAGGTGAGTATTTATTTTTTCTAGTATTTTTGCTTAAATATGTATTTTATCGGAAAATAATTATACCCGGAAGTAGAAACAATTGCAGTTCCTGGACAACGGTTTGTTGATAGCAACATGGAAAATGGCAGCCAAGTAATTATTTAATCAAAGCAATTTAAACCAAAATTATTGTAATTAATCTCTTAGATAAAACAATCATCAAAGTGAGGAAATTCAAGATTTTCAAGAATTTTAATCTTTACTTTCTTCCATGCATACTGTCTACATGTATGAGAATAAAAATTTGAGCTGTTGAAAACTTGTATCCGAAAAGTGAAAATATATCTCTTCAGGGCCAAAACACCATTTTTGGGGAAGGGGCCTTGAGCAGCCTTTTTCTTGGGGAAAATATACATGACTTTGGCATACTTTGGGAAAAGGGGTATCAAATTTAACTCAAACTTTTAACAAGTTCTTCAAAATAGAAAAGCAAAAAGCACTGGGAAATACTAATAAGGCAGTAAAAGACCTTAATTCAACACCATCATTTAATTTTGTTCTAAATTCTATGGGAAATTTCAAAATACTGGGGAATTTTGAGGACAAAAATGGGGGAAAAAAGAGGCTACTGGTCGGAGACCATCAACCGGACACTTTTGGAACATTTTTCTGTACAGATTTCATAATTTTTAACCTAGAGACCAAAAAATTTGACACAGTTCAGCTAGGTTCTTCTCCTAACTAATAAACTAGTTTGTTTTTTCTGATTGTATTGACACTTTTATCTGAGGCTCGACAAGGAGGGTATCAAAATTACCTTAATTGTCTACACTACAGTACCATGTTGTCCGGACAGATATGTACATGATGTGATTTAATTTCAGATTAAAGGCCTGGGTGTTTTGATTTTTGATTTGTAACATGATATACAATATGTCAGCAACAAATGCTGAAGTTTTTGGATATTCTATTATTCACTCTGCAAATGATTATAGCTGGTATATGAGGTCAGGCATTGCTTTCTTGACCCCCCGAATTTCAACGTTAACATTCTTGAAATAGACATTAAAATATTACCATTTACAGAGGTTGAAATAAATTCATTTACTTAATTTTAAAAGAAACATGCACTTATTGTTGATAAAAATGTGACTGACAACCACTGAACAAAGAAAATACTAAATTAAGCATTTTCGGGGCCGTCCGGGTTTGGTGGTTGTCCGGTTTTGGTGGTCCCCAACCAGTAGTTTGGTTGGGGAAGCAGCCTATATTCGGCCTCTACAAAGAAGGGTTTTTTGGCCCTGCTCTTGGACCATTGTTTGAGCTGTTTAAATTTTTCAGATCTTTAAAATTAAAAATATGGAGATGTTGCAGTTTCATTCAATACATGGAGGGTATTGAATGAGTGCATAGACATATAAGATTCTATTTTTTCATTGACACAACTAGACTATAGTGTAACGCTTGCACTTAGCATGTATTTAGATCTACCTATGTTTCTGTAAGGCATATGATATCACATCAAAATATCAAAATGTTTGTTCACACTTAGAACCACATCAATGAATACCTAAGCCGGAACTTGTTTGAAATGATTTAACTAATATTTTAATTTAAAAAAAGTCACAGCCCTATTACAAGCTTTCTAGAAAGTATACTTCTTAAAGGAATCATATCTGCAGGTGCCTTATTAGCAAAACATGAGGACCTCAGGAAAATCTGACTGTTCTATCAATTGTAAAAACTGTATATCAATAAAACATAATTTATAAATTTAACTACTGTACATTTCAGGCACTTCACCATGCACTCTTGATGTAAAGTACTCCAACCTTTGGGATTATGCCCAACAAGTGCACTTTTCCCATCATTCTCAACCTGTTGGTCCAATATGTTTTAGGTCACCAAGAATGTTCCATGTGTTTGGTGTTTGTGTAGAGGGATCAGGTTAGTTTGCCAATAACATTTTTTGACATATTTATTCATGTGCATATTGTAAAAACATGTTTAAAAATATTATCAAGGTAGATTTCTATAAAAAAAAATTTGTCAGATGTGTTCCTTTGCCATGAAATTTATTATTATTCTCCTATGCCATAGTATTTTCAGTTGCAAAAGAATATTCAGTTTAATATAATCTTAATTTTAAGTATTATTTACTTAAGTACTATTTATATCCTATGCAAACTTTTTAAATTTCCAATTTATATGTATTTTAGGACTTCATGGAAGTGTCAGTCTCAACATGCTTGGTACTTTTATATCTGGAAAGTGAAAAACAATGCACCAGGTTGCCTAAGTGTACTGTCCTGAAGTCATCAAGATATGGGCACAATATCCTACAGCTTATAGATGATCCAGAAAATCCCTAGGAAGTCATTTCTTAAGTTAAGCCCTCAAACTGTTATCCAAATACCACCATTTTTGTGCAAGTGCAATGGAGCCAAGTGTTATAGCATGTGTAAAGAATATATTAACTCTGTGGAGGTAAAAATGGATTTACTGAAACAATTGCCTCCCAGAGGTCTTTTACCTGAAGTACAGTAATGATGCAGCAAAAGACATTAGTATCTATTTGAACAAATTGGGCAGTTCTTTCAAATCTGACATAGCTAAAATACGGTGTGGTCCCGAAAACAGAAATAAAGTTGGAAATTGACAATTATGTGAAAACGGTTGAAAGAGAAAGAGCGGTCTTTTATTCTTGAGTAATAATTGGAGTTCCTATAACATAGTGGTCATGTATGGACTGTCATTATTTTCTTCATTTCAAATATAGCTTATGATACAAGTAGATGCTTCATAAGATAAGACTGCAAGTGTGTTGCATAACTGGTGCTCTAAGGACTAATGCTATATTAACAAGTGTGTGGATCATTGATGCATATATATTATTTAATGGCTGCCTATATTATTTTTTGGGGATGTCAGTTTACCAGTTACCAATTTCCATCATTTTTACAAAATGTTTATTAGATCATTAAGTTTAGTGTAATAACAACATTTGTCATTTTACTCTAAGTTATAGAATTCTATTGAACCTATGCATGTTATGAATTGATCAACTGTCAATGATCTTAAGCTTTGATCTAGATTGAAAATGACTGAAAATGTAAAGAAACATTAAGCTTCAGTACTTGTTGTCAAATTTTAAACATTTTATAGTTGTAGAATATGAAAAAATACTTTATCTATAACAATGACAGGTCAGTTGAATTATTTATGTTGATATTAGTGTAGAATCACATTGTAAATTATCACCAATCCTTAAAATTGTTAAAAGAAGCAGCAAATCAAAGAATATGCAATGGTAGCTAGGCAACCAATATTCCCTTCAGTTGGGAAGGATTTTAAACAGGTGCATCATAATAAAAATACTTTATATGTTTGATCACATTGTAAAATAATTGAAAAAAATCATCACTAAGTTATAAATTATTAAAATATAGAACCTTTTAAATGTACCTGAAAATAAATGTTGTGAACATGATATTAGAAGTATCATTTTTAATTTATATTACTAAGGAATGGTGAGGCAGGCTGTTCTCTGAATACCTTATTAAGTTCAGTTACACATTATTTGTGGTATTGTTTTCATTTTTTTATAATAGCACAAATTGCTATTTTTAACTAAGTTGTAATCTCCTGTATGCCTGTAAAAAAATGGAAATTTAGAAATTTATCAAAAAATAAATAAAAAATTATTCATTGGTTGCTAAGCAACCTAATTATATGCAGATACAGTTTTAAGTTAGGAACATTTTTTGTAGGAATTATTTTTATGTCATTTTAATTAAATAGAATGCTAGTTAATTCAAAGTCCTTACTTTGTTGTGAAACAGTGTAGTTAACACTAGATGTTACTTAACATATTTTTATGAAATTATGTATATTATCTATATAAATTCAAAACCTATAGTAAAGTGAGTTTAATGATACTTTGATCCAAGAACTATTATTAAGATTGTATTTGCAGTTTTAATAGTTGTAATTTGATTTTTGTAATCATGCTGCTTTGTTCATGGTATTTTGAGATATTTTTTAATCAAACTTAAAATTTGTAAAATTTAAAAGGAAATTATGGAAGATATTGTGGTTGCTTGGCAACACTGACTAATTTTTACTTATTGCTTAGGTATAATGTAAATCAGTTATACAGCAGATAGAGATATTTATGTAATATGGAAAGTAACAGTGATTTGATCAAATGCTTATTGGTTATTGTAAAACATACAGAGCAATATACATGGCAAAAATACTGTGTTCTGCTAAAATTTGCATGACTTTACTAACACTATTCAAGTGTACAGAACATGGATTGTATGTTATATCTTCAATGGAAAAATTATTGAAAAAGTAATTAATAGGCATTGTTTATAATTTTTATTGAAAACTTATTTATTTCTGCTGCTTTGTTAGCTGTATTTTACCATGAAATTTGTATTTACAAAATAAATTACACAAATTTAGAATATTCCATGGTTGCTAGGTAACAGAATATAGTTTCCTTCATGTTGTATTTGTGTAATTATGCCCTTTATTTAGTGTTACTACCTTTGATGATGTTATAACTTGAGTCATCTTTCATTTACTGTTGTATTAAACTGTTGTCTGCTGTCAGAGTAAATATCTGAATAAAGTTAATAAATGAATGATAAATGGACACTGTGTTGTTTAGTTCTTTTGAAGTTGTATTATGATATCTCTCAACAGTAATATGTCCTGTTAACAATGTAGAAATGCAAAAAGAACCATTTGCAAATGTAAAAAGAATTTTTATTTCGTATTGATACTTGCAAGTGTTATAAAATAAACATAGCACAACTTTTTACTCGAAAAAGGCCATGAAGAACCCAGAAATAGGTCCGTTGCTAGGCAACATAATGTAAATGATGCTTTAATTATGGTGGCTGTATTTCCAAAAATATTCTACAACATTTATTAACTTCAATAACATAAAACAATTTTTTTTCCAAAATTCATTTTAGCTTCAAAAGTGTTTTCCTCATGCACCTTTAAACATCACAAAGATCAAAGATTTTTATGTGTATTTTTAATTACTTACTGGACACCATACTCACAAAATTATGTATATCTTTGTAAATAAGAAAGACACGACCTTCAAATTTTCAGGAATTACTTCTGATATTTCATAGATTTAGAAAATTAAAAAAAGTGAAAATCAAAAATTTGGTCAAGAAACCCCATTTTTGCATTCCATGACACAAATATTGATTTTATGAAACAAAGCATGGGTAAAACACACAGAAACCACGTCTGCTTTGCAAGAATAATTATAGTTTTCTGTGCACTATTTTAGTGTGTAATAATTATTGTCTTTTTGCGCTATTTTCAGAGAGCAGAAAATCTCTCAATGTCATTTCTGCCTTTAGAATATGGCAACATAACCAATAACAGAAACACTATCCAAGCTCAACCAAATTCAATACCAGGTAAATAGTAAAAAGTGTTATACATATATCTCATATTTCTATGTAAAATGTACCTATATTTGCATTTACTTAACATTCTTGAACCAAAACTACCTACTAATACAGAACCAGTCTGGCCCAGACTTGATGTTGTATTTAACTCATGAGTTTAGTAAAAATAGCTTGCTCTGTGTTAAATCTGCACACCTAAATCAAGCTTAAGAAAATTGTACTACTGTGATTTAAGAAAAGTAAAAAAGGTTCAAGATTCAAGTAATCATATACATTTTGTAAGTGCAAAAAATCTAGATTTATAATACTGCAAATTTCTATTTTTAGAGAGAAAAACTGAAATTACTTTATACGGTGTATATAGATTATATAAACGTCATGATTATCCAATGAAAAATGATGATGCAAACATATAGTATTATATTCTAACACGACCTGCATTTTTCCCTATTGAACATAGAAGAACCGAAATTGTGTGTTATTATGCTATAAAGTCACTGTTTGACATTCTATATTTAGACATGTGACATAATCATTATACACGTGACGTACATGTAACCACTATAAATGTGACGCGTTTACAATAAGTACGGAAACAAATCTGGCACAATTTAGCTTAATATCAGGTACGACAGCATTTATTTGTTGATGTCGTGTTAGAATCGAAATAATATATCCAAATCGGTGATTTTATTGCTTGATAAAATCACTGTTTGTCATTCGGATGGGCATCATTGTATCACTCGGGCTACGCCTTTGTGATATACTTCCCCGCATCCGAACTCCAAACAGTGATGTTATTGAGCAATAAAATCACAGTTTGGGATATATTATTTCTTAAATATCATAAAAACATGTAACATTGTATATTGAAGGTGTAGACTATGTATCACACCAGGACATGATGCCATATCAAGTAACAAGTGATGCAAAACCCATCAAACATGAACTCTTTGACAAATTTTTCACAGAAATTCCTGATTCTGATACTAGTAAGTTAATATTTATATTTATACTATGATATATAGTAACAAAGTTAAGGATGTTCAATGTAAGTATGGGGAGATTAAGGTTATGTAATTTCTGCTGCCTTATTATTAATTTTGGTAATTAGCATGTGAAGGAAGGCATGTGTAAAGTGAATGCTCAGATATGTTCAAAATAACTGTTTTTGAATGAACTTTTAGGCCACTAGGGATATCTTTAGGCAATTAGGGACATCTTTAGGCAATTAGGGACATCTTTAGGCCATTAGGGACATCTTTAGGCCATTAGGGACATCTTTAGACCATTAAGGTCATCTTTTGGCCATAACATATTTATGTGTGCAAATATAGCTGAAATTTTACATATGAACTTTTTATTGTTAATGTCTTTCAACTTTACCTATATGAAAATACTTGTAGATTGTTTGGAGATATATATAGATGAGAAGTGTATAGTACTTGCACTACATTAAATGTACTTGTGTTTTTGTTTCCTATAGCTAAAAGGTATGAAGAAAAAGATACATTAAAGTCGTTCCAGGAATCTAATCATCCCTGGTTAAGTTTGTCAGATGTTTTTAAGGAGACAACTGAAAATATTAGAGTGACAGTGATACCTTTCTACATAGGCAAGCAGGTGGGTCTGAAGTATGAAATATTACAAAGGTGTGTCAATATGTAATGCAATATAGAGTATATTTTCTAATTAAGCTCGTGATTCTTATGTTTGTGTAAACTATGCGATGATTCAAAGCATTTTCTTTCAAATGATAGCAAAATCATGTGTGTAGTCAAACAATCAAGAATTTTATTTACATTTGAAAATATCTTACAGGAGTAACTTTATGTAAAATATTGCTGGTAAATGCTCAGTTTAAAGTGCTGAAATACGGGCTTACATAAAAGCTTGAGCAAAACTTGGAAAATCTGCTGTTAATGTTTATAATGATATTTGTAATATTTATAGCAACAATTTATGCAACTGTATCAAGATGGATGCAAAAATTCAAAAATGGGCACAAGTCAAAGATGCCTGTAAGTCTGATAGAAAACGCTCCATAGTTACTGACAAAAATATTCATAAAGTCTTGCTTATTGTTTACTTTCACTTACCCAGATAGCCAATATTGCAGGGATATCAAAAGGGTCAACTCGTACAATTCTGAAGAATCACTTGAAAGTTCGGCCCCATTTGCAATCATCTGACTATAGAAGGATCAAGTTTAATGTTCTAGAAAATTACTGAAAATGTTTCCTAAATGTGACGGTTACCGTTTTTCTAATATTGTGACTGGTGATAAAAGCTGGTTACACTATTTTACGTCAGTTCCCAAATGTAAAAATAAGATTATGGGCCACCAAAAATGTTCATTGACCATGCATTGCCAAGTGATTGACAAGTGTCAAGAAATTTATATATATTATTTTTTAATACCTTTGGAACTGTTGTCCAAATTCCTGTTTCTAGAGGTTCTTCTGTCACAGCCAAGTATTATAAAGATGTCATGTTAAGAAAAATTGAAAAACACTTCAATAAAGTTTGTCCTTCAAGTGGTATGAATGCAGGACAACACTCCTGCACATGAAGGAGCTACGGTTATTGATTTTTTTTTCTAGAAAAACAAGTGACTGTCCTTAAACATCCACGGTATTCTCCAGACTTGATACCCTATGACTTTTCCCTATTTCCTAGACTGAAAAAACATCATGCAGGTCATCACAATAACAATACTAGAAATAGATTTAGGTTGGCCATTTTTAGCTCACCTGTCACAAAGTGACAGGGTGAGCTTTTGTGATCGCTTTTCGTCCGGCGTCCGTCCGTCCGTCGTCCGTCCGGCGTCCGTCCGGCGTCCGTCCGTAAACTTTTGCTTTAAATGACATTTCCTCATAAACCACTGAGCCAATTTCATCCAAACTTCACAGGAATGTTCCTTTGGTGGTCACCTTTAAAAATTGTTCAAAGAATTTAATTCCATGCAGAACTCTGGTTGCCATGGCAACCGAAAGAAAAATCTTTAAATATCTTCTTTTAAACAACCCCAAGAGCTAGAGCTTAGATATTTGGCATGAAACATCTTCTAGTAAGCGTCTACCAAATTTGTTCAAATAACAGCCCTGGGGTCAAAATTGGCCCCGCCCCAGGGGGTCATTGATTTTCCCTATATGCATATAGTAAAAACTTAAAAAATCTTCTTTTAAAGAACCATAAGAGCTAGAGCTTAGATATTTGGCATGAAACATCTTCTAGTGAGTGTCTACCAAGTTTGTTCAAATAAAAGCCCTGGGGTCAAAATTGGCCCCGCCCCGGGGGTCATTGATTTTCCCTATATGCATATAGTAAAAACTTAAAAAATCTTCTTTTAAAGAACCGTAAGAGCTAGAGCTTAGATATTAAGCATGAAACATCTTCTAGTGAATGTCTACCAAGTTTGTTCAAATAAAAGCCCTTGGGTCAAAATTGACCCCGCCCCAGGGGGTCATTGATTTTCCCTATATGCATATAGTAAAAACTTAAAAAATCTTCTTTTAAAGAACCCAAAGAGCTAGAGCTAAGATATTAAGCATGAAACATCTTCTAATAAGTGTCTACCAAGTTTGTTCAAATAAAAGCCCTGGGGTCAAAATTGGCCCCGCCCCAGGGGGTCATTGATTTTCCCTATATTCATATAGTAAAAACTTAAAAAATCTTCTTTTAAAGAACCCAAAGAGCTAGAGCTAAGATATTAAGCATGAAACATCTTCTAGTGAGTGTCTACCAAGTTTGTTCAAATTAAAGCCCTGTGGTCAAAATTGGCCTCATCCCGGGGGTCATTGATTTTCCCTATATGCATATAGTAAAAACTTAAAAAATCTTCTTTTAAAGAACCGTAAGAGCTAGAGCTTAGATATTTAGCATGAAACATCTTCTAATAAGTGTCTACCAAGTTTGTTCAAATAAACGCCCTAGGGTCAAAATTGGCCCTGCCCCAGGCGGTCATTGATTTTCCCTATATGCATATAGTAAAAACTTAAAAAATCTTCTTTTAAAGAACTCAAAGAGCTAGAGCTAAGATATTTAGCATGAAACATGTTCTAATTGGTGTCTACCAAGTATGTTCAAATAAAAGCCCTGGGGTCAAAACTGGCCCCGCCCGGGGGAGGGGGGGGAGTCATTGATTTTCCTTATATGTGTATAGCAAAAAACTTAAAAATCTTCTTTGAAAAAACCCAAATAGCTAGAGTTTAGATATTAAGCATGAAACATCTTTAAGTAAATATCTACAAAGTTTGTTCAAATAAAAGCCCGGGGGTCAAAACTGGCCCTGCCCCAGGGGTGTCATTGTTTTTAACTATATGTGTATAGTAAAAACTTTAAAAATCTTCTTTTAAAAAACCCAATGAGCTAGAAATTAGAGTTTAGCATGAAACATCTTCTTATGGGTGTCTACCAAGTATGTTCAAATAAACAAATAAAAGCCCTTGGGTAAAAATTGGCCCGGGGGTGGGGGGCCTATATACAGGTGAGCGACCTCAGGGCCATCATGGCCCTCTTGTTCAGTTATTGTAAGGTATACCTAAGGAGTACTATGTTGAAACTTTAAAAAAATTGATTAAACGTCTGAAACTATGTACTTCTATAGCAGGAGATTAATCTGGAGGGTTGAAATAGAAAATTGTAAAATATTTGATCTTTTGTCAAGTTTATTGACCATATTGCATTACATATTGACCTACCCTCGTACTGTTGATAGTTTTCAAAGATTATTTCAAGATCCATTTTATTGAATTATTTGTGAAACAGAATTATTTGATAGTCTGTGATAGGGCTTTGTACAAGGAACATATCTGGCAAATTTTGTCAAATTAGACTTAATGGTTTTAGAGGAGATGTCATTTTAAACAATTACTGACAAGAGACATTGGGCAGCTGTCAAGCTCTGATTGCTAAAAATATAATTATTGAACAACAGTAATGACAATTTACTCTCTAAAAAAAAATGATAAGTCATAAACTCAAATTTAAGTTTTAAAAATTGATTTTGGATGATATTCTTATTTCTATCCAGTTAACAAATTTGATGTTTTTATTTCAGGAAACATTTAGCAAGTACTGCGTAAGTTTGTAGTTTTTGACAAAATTCAAACTGATCAGTTTTAAGATTTCTGTTATGAAAAACAAAGTTGTAAAGTCATAGACCATTGAATTATGCAGAGTAATAGCTCACCTTACATTGAGCTATTAAAATTGATAGCTGTCTGTCTTCTGTGTCCACAAAATTGTTTAAAATGACATCTCTGTTACCATTGGCCCAAATATGAAAAGAAAAAAATTCTTGGGATGTTATTTATACGAAGTCTACCAACTATGATCAAATATGCCTATTCCATTACATATCTGGGTCACAGTTGCTAAAAATAGATTTTTATTTTGATTTTTTTGAAGAAAAGCTATTGCTAGAGTCATGTCATCCGTTTCTCTTCCCCTTGCCGTCCAGAACTGTTAACATTTGTCATTATGGTTATCTCTACTTTTAGAAGAATAGGATTGCAGGATATCTGTCCACTCTTTGGTTCAGTTTTTGCGTGCAAGCTTGTATTTCCAAAATTACTTAAGGGAATGGGTCGAAATTTCACATACTTATCTGAGAATATTTAAGGAGGTCACTATCCAAGATCTATAATTCTAACATGGATTTTGAGAGAATAATGGCCTTTTTGAAATTTTAAAATTCTACATTATCCATGCTTTTGTTTTACTATCAAGCACTAAGAATAGGCGAGCATGCTGTCCTACCAATAGCTCTTATTTTTTTTCTTCATAACAAGACAAGACCTTCAAGTAGACCAGACTGACCTTGACTTTTAATTGACATTGACCTTCAAGGTCAACTTTTGTCACCATTGTGGGATTGAATCTGGCCAGGACTTTTGATTCTTTCATGTGAGGAAGCTTAGTCCACCTAGCTGTCAGTGGTTCTACTCAGGTGCCTGTTTGTGCCTGGTGCACCAGTTAAGCTGGAAAGATGACATATAACTTTTACAGTGTTTGTACTACATAAAATCCAATAAAAAAATATTATTTCACAAATTATTTCAATATCACTCTTTTCCTCTTTCACAAGTTTAAGAAAAATGACACTTAAACAAAATATTATCAAGAAAAATTATGCTTGTGATTCACATATCAGAAAGGCATTGGGGGCTCTTAACAGTTTAGGGGGAAAAAAGGCCTGAAAGTCAAGTAAAGAAGGCCTTTGTATTGTATATAAGATAAACATGTGACAATACTGATCTTTGCTAATTTAGTTGTATGGGGTAGATAAGAAGATATTCAAGGTAAAGTATGATGTTTGTAAACTCAAAGTTGTAGTGACCATGTTATCAATTGTAATTTTAACAAAGTTAACCATTGAAAATTCTATGTTTTGTTTGTTTGTTTGGGTTTTACATCACACCGACACAGTATAGGTCATGTGGCGACGTTCCAGCTTTACTGGTGGAGGAAGACCTCCGGTGCCCTTCTGTGCATAATTTCAGGCATGAACACCTGAGTAGAACCACCGACGTTCCGTAAGCTAGCTGGATAGCTTCCTCACATGAAAGAATACAAAGTCCCTGTTGGGATTCGAACCCACAGCGGTGAGGGGCAAGTGGTTTGAAGTCAACGACCTTAAACACTCGGCCACGGATGCCCCTGAAAAATTCCATGTAACAAGACTAATTGGTTTCTATTTGGGAGGGAGGGAGGCATAAATGTTTCATAAACATCTCTTGTTTTTGTATATGGTTATATAAGCAGCTTAAATATCTAATTTCCCTAAGCTTATGACTGATTCAAAGCTACACTAACATTAATTTTGGATCTCATATTATTTTATGTGCAAACTTGGATCGATATGAACTTTGACCATGATTGTTTTTGTCCATGACCAAGTTATCTGCTTTTTCAAGCTATAGCATTCAAATTAAAACCACTTACAGTATTGTCTGTAAAATAAGCTGTGACTTTGGATGACCATGAACCTGACCCAGTGACCTACTTTTGAATTGTTAAACTATGATTCCTTTTCTCTGGTGAGCGACTATGACCATTATGGCTCTCTTGTATTTGTATCAAGTTAATATTTAAAGCACTAAAGTTGTTAAAAAGATTAAAGTTGTTGAAAGCATTTAAGGCAATATTTTACTATTTAGATATTATTATTATTTTGTTTGATTTTCATATTTTCTGTTTTATGAAGTCTTGAATCAAATGCTTAGTAAGCAGTATATTGTTATCATAAAATTATATATATATATTTTAATATCATATGTTGCAATATCATTTACTAGCAATAACTAGTCATAATACTAGTTGTCTCTGAAAGATTTTTTTATCACAAGTCTCCCTTCCAAGCTCAATAGGGAGAGAAAAAAAATCAGGGGTTGCAAATTCTATCCTCATGCAAGCGAAAACTTCGCTGTGAAATGGGTCTCAGACATTGAGTGTAATGGTCATTTGTTTCTCAGAGCTGATTAAAAAAATCATGTGGGATAGGTAGTGGATGACTCATGGAGAAATTGGTAATTACTGGTTAGTTATCCAGGAAAGTGTGTTTGGTGGATGGACTGTCGAGATATAACCAAAAATTTGTTAAAAGTTGACTTCAAACCCAGAAAAACAAACCAACATTTATATTGATTGCTAAGAAAGATTATGTTGTAAATAGACAGAAAAATAGATATATATGAATGATTGTAAAACATTAGCTACTAAAATATGAACATGTTTGAATGTTTGCTTTATTTAACCTTACTTTGAATTTTTACTAATGAACTCTATGTTTTAAATAAGAAAATTGTGTTTGTAGTGAAGTCTGTACATAATAAAAGTTATTTTGAAACATGATACAAATGATGATTCAATCTTCAAATAACAAGTATGTTATGATCTAATATATTGAGTTTTATATTAAAAAATATATTGTCAAATTTTAAGTGCTTAAAGAATTAAATGTTTCTATTTCAGGAAATATTTAGCAAGTACTGGGTAAGTTTTGTAATTTTTGTCAAAATGAAAACATATCAGAACCACAACTTTTGCTTTAAAACAAACGTAAAAAAGTTGAAAGTTCCACAATTTTTTAAGGTGATATAACAAGTAAAATTAACCAGTAAACTTAAATGCTCAATTGTTGAATGAAGGAAAGGAGGTATTTTCATCAAATGAATGATGGATATATCAAAAACAATATTGTTTTCGCATCATCAGTCTGTTTCTTCACAGACAGTTTTGACTACAACCATGACATCTGTGTTATATGATGTAAGGTTAGGGCTTTCATTCTTGGTATCATTTATGTTTCATATACATAAGTGTTTTTAATGTATGTTACGTTTAGACTAAATTTAGTGACAACGGTCAAGGGCACAAGCTATGCAAGAAAATAATTTTCATAATATCACTTTGTTTATTAACATCACATGTCATATGGCGTGTAAACTTTCTGTGCAGTACAAATATATCTTGTAAACATGCACTCGAGTGCTAAGTATTTGATACAGAAGAAATGTGAAGCATGTTAGAAAGCTAAATAGATAACTATTTGTGCTGTACACAATCAATGTTAACATTCTAGTTTGAATGTTGTATTTTCAGTGGCGATACTGTATTCTAGTTTGAATGTTGTATTTTCAGTGGCGATACTGTATTCTAGTTTGAATGTTGTATTTTCAGCGGCGATACTGCATGCTAGTTTGAATGTTGTATTTTCAGCAGCGATACTGTATTCTTATTTGAATGTTGTATTTTCAATGGTGATACTGTATTCTAGTTTGAATGTTGTATTTTCAGTGGCGATACTGTATTCTAGTTTGAATGTTGTATTTTCAGTGGCGATACTGTATTCTAGTTTGAATGTTGTATTTTCAGTGGCGATACTGTATTCGTATAGAGAACCTTGGAGAGGAAACCGTACAGTTGAGGGATAGAAACTGGAAAATTTTCTGTAATAATAATTCTGTGGAGACTCTGCAGGGACGAGGTGTTATTGGCAAGGTAAAATTGTTTTACTGATATACTGTATCAAAATTACGTAGGTAATAAACATCAAGATGTGCTGCTAGCATTTCTGTTTATCTTATATGTGAAGAAGTGCAGTGCACAAGAACCGGTACTCTGCACTTCCTAATTTTTGAGTTATTGCCCTTTGTTAATTTTCATACTTTATTTTTGTCCGGGCCATTTCTCCTAATGTATAAAAGCCATGGACTTGAAACTTCATAGGATGATAGGTCTCATTAAGAAGAAGTGCAGTGCACAAGAACAGGTACTCTGCATCTTTTATTTTTTGAGTTATTGCCCTTTGTTTGTTTTCATACTTTAATTTTGTCCGGGCCATTTCTCCTTAAGTATAAAAGCTATGGACTTGAAACTTCATAGGATGATAGATCTCATTAAGAAGAAGTGCAGTGCACAAGAATCGGTACTCTGCATTTCTTAATTTTTGAGTTATGGCCCTTTGTTAATTTTCATACTTAATTTTTGTCCAGGCCATTTCTCCGAAAGTATAAAAGTTATGGACTTGAAACTTCATAGGATGATAGATCTCATTAAGAAAAAGTGCAGTGCATAAGAACTGATACTCTGCATTTCTTATTTTTTGAGTTATTGCCCTTTGTTGATTTTCTTACTTTATTTTTGTCCTGGTCATTTCTCCTCAAGTATGAAAGCTATGGACTTGAAACATCATAGAATGATAGATCTTATTGATAAGAAGTGCAGTGCACAGATATGCTGCTCTGCACTTATTATTTTTTTAGTTATTGCCCTTTGTTATTTTTCATATTTCATTTTTGTCCTGGCCATTTCGCCTAGACTACATTGTTCACAAGGCGACACATCCGACTCGCGGAGTTCTAGTGAATGTTAGGTTGACTATGTTGGAAGCTCTTGTAATTATTGTAAGCATTCTTAGGTCTGCTACCTTCACTAAACACATGGACACACTATTTAGACCCTAATAATCAGGGATCACAAATATTTTAGTTGTGAGGTAGTCACATTTACCTCATTTGCATTAGACTATTTCAATGTAATGAGAAAGATGTTGTTTTGGATTTGAAAATCATTGTAGTTATTTAATGGGAAAAGATTCTGTGTAATTTTGATGACATGAGTAATAAAATTTAGCCATCATTTATAGATATCCATGCTTTTATGTTACAGGAGCCTAGGCTTTCGAAAGATTCACCAGCTTTTCAGTATAACAGTCATGTCTCCCTGGACTACCCTTCAGGATATATGTGGTAACTATTTAACCAATTTGTTTCATACATAATTTAAAAATCTGTCACATTATTTTGATGTAAGAGATTTTTATATCTAAATGTAAAGATTAAAGGTCATATAATGTAATAATAGTAAAACATAATAGTATGACACAGATCTGCAGGCTTGTACATCTTTAGTTAAAAAGGCTAGTAATTATCTTCACATTTAGTTAAATTAGTTAAATGTGCACAGACAATGGTTTCAACAAAAGAATTAGGAAGAATAGAAATATATCTGGTTAATAAAGATAAGATGATGTCTGTCAACCAAACGGTCATAATTATTATAAACTCAGATTTTGATTTATATTTCTTTTTGATGGATATAACTTATGATGTTTTTAGTTGTTGATAGATTGTACAAAGGTGGTTTATGTTGATATTTTCAGGGGATTATTTACATTTGAAAGAGAAGACGGTTCGAAGATTGAGTGTAAAATACCGCCATTTAACTTACAGAGAGGGGACGTGAAACTGCACGACCCCAGTGATGATATTATAGGATAAACATGTCTTCCCTGCATGTGATGTTTTTGTTACACAGATTTACATTAATTGTGATAAAATGCTTCGCAATCATGTTAACAACCTGCCGTACTATGCTCGGAAGATATACTTGTGACTTGAAGCAGAACAATTATATTTGATTATTAAATCAAATTATTGTAAAATATCTGGAGTAATCACATATTCTAACATGACCAACATTTTTCCCTATTGAACATTGAAGGACTGAAAGTATATGTAAATATGTAATAAAATCTGTATTTTTAGACATGTGATGTAACCATTAAAAATGGAGCGAGACTTAAAAAGGATTGGGGCACCACACTAAATACCGTAAACTGGTATATAACAGACAATGTGCTTGAATGATTATATACTAAAATCTCGCCTTAAATTCAACCAACGGAATGAACTTTAAAATGATTTATATTTGATAATGAATGAAAAATGTAAGAATCTGCAAAAAACAATGGTATTACCATGATTTCTGCAAGTGTCTACAGTAACTGCTCCAACATTGTATTGAGCTAAATCCTTAAAAATGTGGCATGCCAAAATAAGTACGGAAATAAAATTGGCACAATTTAGCTTGATATCAGGCACGGCAGCATTTATTTGTTGATGTAGTGTTAAAATCAAGATGATATATATCCCAAGTAGTGATTTTATTGCTTGACTGTTTGTAGATCGGATGTGCAGCATCATATAACTTGGGCTATGCCCTTGTGATATAATTCCTCACGTCAGAACTCCAATTAATAATTTTATTTAGCTATAAAATCCCTGTTCGAGATATATTATTTCTTAAATACATACGTCTGTTGACATTGTGTTTTAAATAAAGAACAAGTAAAAACAGTAAAACTTGATTGTAAGATGTGCATGCTTAAAATATATGTTTTGTACTTAATTATGTGCTGTGATTATTAATAGTTCAATACTATTGTATATACAGAGACTGTTTTCAAATGGCAGTGAGAAGAAATCTTGCCATATGTTCTAAAGAAGTAAGGATTGTTGTAATTGATTATTTGTATCAATTGTTATTTATGTCAATTTTTATTTCCTCCCATTTTAATTGTGTATAATATACATGTATGAACATTATATGATCTTATTATACATGTACAGTTTTTATCAGTTTAATATTTAAGGTGGTAATCATGTTACAAATGACCGTTTTGTCTCTTGCATATTTTTATGTAAATTGTACGAGTGCACAGGGCACACATAACTCAATGAACTTTCAACTACATTGACAGACAATTCATTCTTTGGCTCAGTGGTTTAGAACTTTGTCTTGATTTGCTGGAAATTGCAAGTTCGAATCCCATAAAGGGTGTTTGGTTCCTTTTTTTCTAGATGCTATTTTGTTCCCAGATCAATTGCATCTTGTTACAAAAAAAAATTGTACTGTTTATAAGATTTTGAGAGAAGAAAAATCACATTTTATATAATTATGATAATGATGTTCAATTTAATTGTAAAATGTAATGTATTTGAATGTCAGTTATATGATAATTCCTTTACTGGGTTAAGTCTTTATTTGATTGTAATCTTTGTGCTATTACATATTTAAGTTTCACCATGCAAACTGTTAGACTGCAAGTCTTAGCAGTTGATATATTAAAAAGGATTTGAAAAATGTTTTGTTTTTGTTTTATCTCTAATGTTTTAATTAAAATAGGAGATATTTATTATATTTGACCTTCTTTTTAGGATTTTTTGTTTTAAATGTGCCAGAAAAATACAGTCTGAAAAATAAATGTCTTCCTTAAGAATTCCTTCTTTAAGAGAAACAGTGAAGTTTGATGAAGTTTCACAAAAACAGACAACATTTCCAAAGATTTAACTGTTGATTTACACATGATAAGGGTCACAATTGAATTTGACCAATTCCAGCAAGATTTAAATTATTTTTGTTGTTGTGGTTTTAAAGGCCCATTTTGCCTCAGAAATGCTTTTATTTTTATTTCTCAAAAGCCCTTTGTCTTCGGCGCCTTTAGGCCATTAGTACAGTTAAGTTGATTTAGTATTTTGTATGGAAGTTAAAATACTACTTTGTTTACATTTTGTTACCATTATAATAAATAATCTCACATTCAATGACTGCATAATTATATGAAGAAGTTTAACATAAAATGGTAATTGTATAGAACAATAAAATTCTGCCATTACTAGCTTAAATCCCCTGTGGCAGTAGATTTTTATAATAGACCTATAAGTATGACCTTGAACTAAGAAGCAGCAACCTGGATTTTGAACTATGCACATTGTCTAAAAATGATGATCATTTGTGCAATGTTATTTTTCCCCCATAATTATTTAAGTGAACAAAAAAGATGGACATTTTGTATTTGACCTTTAAATGTGACCTTGACCTAGAGAGTAGCAACCCGGTTGTTGTGCTCTGCACATCATTTCATAATGGTTATCAAGGTATTTTAACCACTTTAGTTATTGTATTTTAAAAGTTATAAAGCGTCACAAACTGTGTACTATTTATATTTGACCTTAAGGGTGACCTTGACAACCTGGTTGTTGCGCTCTGCTTATTGTATATAATGATAGTCATTTGTGCCAAGATGTTTTAAAAACTTTTAGTCAGTTTAAATGTTATGCAGCGGACACAAAAATGTTACAGATGAACAGAGACAATTCTGATATAATATATTACCCTCCATGGCAGGGATTATTAATGACTGACCTGACAAATATGGAATGTGTATGCTTACAATTGTAAGAATGTTCATAAAGCTACAACTATCGAGTAAGATATAAACATTTCAAAGTACAATCACAATGTTTTTATTTCATCAAAAAATAGTTTATAAAATGTCAGACAGGATCAAGAATTATACTGCTCATTTCAAACAATCAAATATATCTTTTAACACAAATGATAAATCACATTTAAGGTACAAATTAGCATATTAAATCACAGTAAAGTTTACTATGGACATGTATATACCGGCCAGGTAAATACTTTATATAATATGATAATTAATATTGCATAATTCATTGAATTATAATTGTGTGTATTGTGGAAAACATGTTCAGGCAATCATATTATGCCAAAAAATATTTTGATTTTTGTAATAGTCATCTGAACAATAAATACACAATTATAAAATGATGATATGTTTATATGTATCATTATCACATCACAAGAATACACCGCCAAGTGTCTTTTATTTCATTTCATTTGATAGATTTATTTGAACATTTCTTTTTTAATTGAAAATGTCATATTATATCTAGTTCAAATGAGCACACGCAGGTTTCTGTTCCATAATATAGACTTCACTGGTTATATGTGTCAATAAAATTGAATGGTAATAAGATTATATAATGTGAGCCACAATGTGAGGGTTATATGGCACAACCACTGTTTATACATAGCCTGTCTACAGTCACTGAAACGATTTTATGATGATGCACAACTGATTTCATTGATAACGATATAAACTTATTCATAAATTTTTTGTAGCAATCTATATATAAAATTTATATGGGATGTAAAGATGATAGTCTGATGAAAAACATCAACACAAAATGTGCAGCAGTCATATTACATGTATTACACAATAAGTCAAGTTTTAACATGATGTAAATGTCATTGTTTGGCTTGTTGTCTCTTCGTCCATTCTGTAAATCCTCCCTGTATAAAAATAATAAAATTGAGCCTTGTCATGACAAAACCAACATAATGGGTTTGTGACCAGCATGGATCCAGACCAGCCTGCGCATCCACGCAGTCTGATCAGGATCCATGCTGTTCGCTATCAGTATCGCTACTTGTTATAGGGTTTGTAAGCGAACAGCATGGATCCTGATCAGACTGCGCGGATGCACAGGCTGGTCTGGATCCATGCTGGTCGCAAACCCATTATGTTGATTTTACCATGGCGCGGCTCAAATACTTATTATAATTTTATATTATGATGAAAGGGTATATTAAAGCTGTATCAATTTAAACTAGAAATAGAATTTCCATATTTAACTATGACAAAGTCATTACTTAACTTATAACAGGGATATAGTTATACTAGAAATACTAACCACTGTCAAACTATCAATTTTAGAATACATGTACCTTAATATAAAATGACATTATGCTCACATTTTCATTGTAAAGTTGAGTTGAACTGGTTGTCTATTTCAAGAGATTGACTGTTATAATGGTGATTGACCAATAGTTGCTATTGGGAAATATTTTGGATAAGATATAAATCTGCCTAAAAAATAAAAAGACGGCCCCACTCTTTTTATAAATTGAACATTAAAGGTAAATTCTAAGGGATATTTTTAGAAATTCCCTTGGGCCTTGTAAATTATTTATATTCATGCCAAGTAAATTTTAAATTGAAAGGAATTGTGGCAAAATGTGAATTTATTTTGACTTTCACCTTTTCATTTATTATATACCCATTGGATGGGCAAAGACAAATGTTTCAGGTATGTGAATTTTTAGCTTTCAAACAAAGATGATACCACAGATGATAGTCCTGGGATAGCTAATTTGATCTCTGAGTCAATTGTTCCTGGACATGGAGTCTTATAGTTACTTTGTCTGTCATCCCTGCTTCAAAAATTATGCCGGATATAATATAAATAGATAGTCACTTGTGGAAAATTGGTAATTACCAGTTAATTATCAAGGAAAGCTGGTAAAAGTTGAACTGACCGCCAAGATATGACCAAAAATGTGGTGAAATCTCGTAAAAAAAAGACAAACAAACAAAACATTGAGATATTTCAATAAAAAGACTTACATGGAATACAGAAATATTGTCAGCACCAAGTAGTTCTGCTGTAAATGCTACAGCACAAGATGACATACCACTGTTACAATGTGTAACTACAGGCCGTGTAAGGTCCACACCAGCTGCACTAAATACTGAAATAAAAACTTTCTCACTTATATTTAATAATGCTTGTATCAATAATCATAAAGTTGTATATTTCAACATGCTATATCATGGATAAATATAACAAAACAGACAGCATAATTATGCAGTGAGTGACTTGGTAAAAATACTTATCATCATCCTTAAAGTTTTGTTTCTAGATTGTTAGATTGTAGTGATCATTTTTTCTATGCACTTGAAGTTATTGTAACAGTAACAATTATAAGAGTTTTTCTCTGAGATCTTAACTATAGAGAGTGAGAAAGTTCATCTGCAGTGAATTTCTTCATCCAACTATCTACCAGAATTGCAGGCACTGAACAACTGATAATATAAACCGACCAGACTCCACTAAAGTGACTTGTGAAGAATTATGCATTTCTTTTGATAATCTTGTAAAAGTTACTGAAAGTTATAATGTCCCTCTGGCTAAAATCAAAGCAAACTAGTTGAAATTTCTAACCTTAATGTGATACTTAAAATAGGATGTACTTGTACTGATTATTGACTTACATTCCCTAAGCTGGTTCTTGGATTTCAGTGTCCCATTTTCATTATCTACTAAATCTGTCATAAAAAGATTTTTGGCACCAGGAATATGACTCTCTGAAATAAAAAGATATAACTTATTGCTTCTGAATGTTCACCTTCCCATTACACTTTAAATTTGTATTGGCATTCTGAATTGGGATATAGAAATTTGAAATCAAAATTTACAAAAAATATTTTTACACTAAATTCTCTGAACAACATTGTAATTTCACAGTCAGATCTGTTCACTATTTAGGTTAGAAGATGTGTAATCAGCAACATAGCTTAGTTGGTATACATATATAGAGCCGTTAAACAGTATTCAAAGGGTCCCGGGTTCGAGTCCCAGTCAGGCTGCACAATTTTCTCACCCTGTGACTTATGGTGCCAAACAGGGGACAGTATCTGAAAAAAGCTCAGAGTTTGATTCACATTGCTATGTAACCCTGTGAAAAATACGTGGACAAATTTCAATATAATGGGAGAGTATGTCATAGTTCAGAACTGTTCACTATTTAGGAAAGAAGATGTGTTAGCGGCTGGATAGCTCAGTTGGCAGAGCCACAGAACATTATTCTGAGGGTCCTGGGTTCCAGTCCAGGTCAGCTTGCACTTTTCCCTCTCCCTGTGACAGTTACTGTGCCACCAGTGTTTGTGATGACCAGCTAACACTTTCATGCTGTCTGACTGACACTATGCTGTTTGTCATGTTAGAATTGCAATACTGTCAAATTATTAAAACCAACTAGATCAGTTACATGAAATATAACAGAAAACAAACAATGGATTCAGTCTGCAACAAAATAGAATATGGGGTAACAGCTGAAGAAAACAAAAGAAATTGCTCCATTAAGTCCATTTTGGTAGAATGTCTTTGCCTTTTTTTGAATTTAAAGAAAAAAACAGCAACAACTTTATTGTTAAACTGAGGGCCAAGGATACTACATTACTCTCCTTTGAGTATTGTGTGCATGTGGATACTGTGAATTCACATGGGCAGGACATTTTGTGGTTTTGTTGCAAAGGACATTTATGTGGATTCTTAAATATGTCTATTTGTGTAAATGGACTTGTCCAGCTTCCAGCTTTTGAACTGTCTATTATTTTATATTTTTGTGATATCAAGATGAAAATTTGAAATTGGTCAGCCAACAGTATAGAACCTGGTCAGGCTGCAGACTGCATGAATGTGTAGGCTCTCCTGAATCTATACTGGTGGCAAAGGTTAATCACTTTGTTTCTGGGAAGGTTGAAAAATATGACGGGGGGTTTTATCAAAATGAAGAGCTTCTTTATAACCCTTTAAGTTTCCCGGGCCAAATCCTGACCAATTTTTGAAATCTTAAAATTTTTTGAATCTTTTTGGAAAAAGAAATAGATATTTTTTAAAAGAAAATTTTATTAATCCCTTTTATCCCGAAAGGTCCCTTGGTTCTATAACCGGGAATTTCTGGTATTGTTTTTATCTTTTACTTCATCATAACTTCTATATAAACTCTTCTCTGATGATGCCACAAAGTTACCTGGCTACAACAATTATATGATAAAATATGTTCAATCATAAAACAATTGTCTTTATATATGCATGAACATTACCCCAAAACCTGATAAACACACATGTAAGATCAGAATCTGGATGTTATATACTGAAAAATATTTTATGCTCCAGGACTAAGTTTAACAAGAATTTGTAACAGAGTTACCAACGTCCCCCGCCCCGGGAGTTTTATATGAAGCATAAAATTGTGCTATTTCAAAAGATTGAGGTATGGATCTCAGGACATTCAGTCCAAAATTATGATCAATGCAAGATCTGCAAATATAACAATAAATTTGTTAAAAAAAATAAATGAAACACGGAATTTTAAAAATCTATCATGTTAAGCTTTGACCTCTAAGTGTGAAACTTGACCTTGGAGGTAGGGGAGCAGGTGTTGTGCATGACATAACGTCTTATTATTGTGACTATTTGTGCCAATTATTTCAAAATCCCTTGAACTATGAAGAAGTTCTAGATTAACACAAAATATACCCTATAACAGAGTATGTTAATTTTTGACCTCTAAGTGTGACCTTGACCTTGGAGGTAGGGATGCAGGTGTTGCGCATGACACATCCTCCTTATTATAGTGACTATTTGTGCGAAGTATTTTCACAATCCTTTGATCTATGAAAAAATTATAGACCTGACACAAAATATACCCTGTAACAGACTATGTAAGTATTTGACCTCCAAGTGTGACCTTGACCTTGGAGGTAGGTGACCGGTTTTTGCGCATGACAATTCATCTGATTATTGTTAACAATTATATGGCAAGTATTTGACAAAAGTCCTTCATAGATAAGAAAGTTATGGACTGGACACGACATATACCCTCAAATTAGACAATGTTGACCTTGAATGAACAAGTACGACCTTGACCCTGAAGGTACGGGTCTGGTTGTTGCGCCATGACACATCGTCTTATTATAACAAACATTTGTGCCAAGTTATCTCAAATTCCTTTGATAAATGAACAAAAGTTATGGACCGGACACGAAAATATACCCTGTAACAGACTATGTTATATTTGAGCTCCAAGTGTGACCTTGACGTTGAAGGTAGGCAACTGGTTTTTTGCGCATGACACATTGTCTGATTATTATGAACAATTATGGCAAGTATTTACAAAAAACCTTCATAGATAAGAAAGTTATGGACCGGACACGAAATATACCCTGTAACAGACTATGTTAATATTTGACCTCCAAGTGTGACCTTGACCTTGAAGGTAGGTGACTGCTTTTTCCGCATGACACATCGTCTGATAATTGTGAACCAATTATGGCAAGTATTTACAAAATCCCTTCATAGATAAGAAAGTTATGGACCGGACACGAAATATACCCTGTAACAGACTATGTTAATATTTGACCTCCAAGTGTGACCTTGACCTTGAAGGTAGGTGACTGGTTTTTGCGCATGGACACATCGTCTGATTATTGTGAACAATTATGGCAATATTTACAAAATCCCTTCATAGATAAGAAAGTTATGGACCGGACACGACATATACCCTCAAATAGGCAATTTGACCTTGAATGGAGCAAGTGTGACCTTGACCCTGGAGGTAGGGGTCTGGTTGTTGCGCATGACACATCGTCTTATTATAATAAAACATTTGTGCCAAGTTATTTCAAAATTCTTTCATGAATGACAAAGTTATGGACCGGACACGAAAAGTGTGAACGGACGTACAGACGGACAGACGGACGTCCGGCCGAAATGGAATAAGGGGCCATTTCTTTTGTTATTTTCTATTGTTTAATAGAGGGCCAATGGCCCCTTACTCTATTGTTTACGGAATGAACTCTATTGTTCTCTTTTGTTCTGTTTACAGTTAGATGGCCCCCTTATCCCTATTCGGGTAGTGCGGACGGACAGACAGACGGACAGACGGACGGAGCCTATTTCTATATCCCCCTTTTTTCTTCGAAAAGGCGGGGGACAATAAAACATAACAAGAAAGTTGACTAATGTAAGATAATTAAGATGGAGAAATGTTCAGAGAAAATATTGAAGAAAACTTGCTTGTTACAAGTTGATCAAAATGCTAAATGTTATCTGAATACATATAGAGTGTGTTCCACCTCTATGGGTGAGAAGTTTAGCCTGGCTTTATACTGGAGACCAGGAAAGTCATTAGTCTGAAAAAACATCAGACAAAGGAATTTAAGCATACCTGTATGTCTGTAGCTTTATCTGTGGTAGGGTACTCTAACTGTAACCATTTTAATAATCCACCATCAAGTATTGATACCTTTGTATGGCCTAAAATCTGTAACATTATATAAACAATGTGTTACATGACCAACAACCTGTAACGTCATATAAAGAATGTATTTTATCCCCAAAAACCTGTAAGTTGTAACATTGTATAAACAATGTGTTATATGACCAAAAAAACCTGTAACATCATATACATGGTGTGTTATATGACAAAAAACCTGTAACATTGTATAAACAATGTGTTATAAGACCAAAAATCTGTAATGTCATAAACATGGTGTGTTATATGACCAAAAACTGTAACATTGTATAAACAATGTGTTATAAGACCAAAAATCTGTAATGTCATAAACATGGTGTGTTATATGACCAAAAACTGTAACATTGTATAAACAACATGTTATAAGACCAAAAATCTGTAATGTCATAAACATGGTGTGTTATATGACCAAAAACTGTAACATTGTATAAACAACGTGTTATATAACCAAAAAACCTGTAACATCATATACATGGTGTGTTTTATGACCAAAAACCTGTAACATTGTATAAACAATGTGTTATAAGACCAAAAATCTGTAATGTCATAAACATGATGTGTTATGTGACCAAAAACCTGTAACATTGTATAAACAATGTGTTTTATGACCAAAAACATGTAACATCATATAACCAGTACGTTATATTACCAAAAACATGTATCAGCATATACACAATGTTTTTTACAATGATGTAAACATGTAACACCATATAAACAATATGTTATATGACCAAAAACCTGTAGCATCTTATAATCAATGGAAAAAAAACAATGCCAAGTATTCAACAGATAAATCATACTTAAGAATTTAAGTTGTTTAAATTTTTCAATGAACAAAATACATTGTATTTCTTAACTTGACCTTAAATTTGCTGAAAGTTTTTAGCCTTTAACACTGACCAGGCTCTATATTGTTGGTAAGAATGCTAAAATGTTGTATTTTGATATTGATTATCCCTTAAACTTCAAATAGACTTCTCTAAATTCAAAGGAGGGAAATCCATTACACAAATTCAGCAGATTAATGGTTAATGCTTACTGCTGATAAATGTCTGCATGTTATAATATTAATGTCCCATTGATGACTGTTGGCAGTTAAATGCAAGCACTTTACATATCTTGCTGATTCACCATGCATGTGCCTGACAATCTTGTGGGTTCAAACCCTAATAGGGTCACACAGTTTTCCTCATATTAACTTAATACTGCTTGGTCCAAAAGTTTATTTTAACAGTGATATACATGTATTATATAAGTTGATAGATCATGCTTCACAATCACGCTAAGACAGCAATGTTTTAATTATTCCATCATAGGTAAATGAAATTATAGACTTTCCTTATCTTTTTTATCTAAGGAATTTGAATATATCAAACAAATAAGAGTATAAAATAGTGTTAGACTAGCCTGGCACTTTACTAGTGTTATAAGCAAGTAAACAGTAGACCTACATTAACTGAAACTGAACTTAACTATCATCCTTGTTACCTGTATAGTAATGCCAGTCTGCCTGTTTGCTAACCTTAATTTTCCCTAAAATTGATAATGGACAGTTTCAACAAGAGCATGGCACCTGTGATGTTAATGCAATGACCATAACAAAGGGGCATAACTCAAAATTACCAGTCAGCAGGTGGGAGGGCCGGGTTTGAAACATTCTAAAACATCCCCACTTACCCTGAAAGTCCACCATCCTCTACCTGCGATAAAGTAGCCAGCTCTGTCAGAATTACTGTATACTATAACATGTGAATCAGTGTTTACACCAGCTTTCTGTGCTTGCTCTGTGAATGTTTCCGGTGTTGGTAGATTCCTGGGGAACATGTCTGTATGTTCTCCCGACATCACATCAATATAACGTGCCCCTGGTATATGCTGCCTTAATACATGACAAGATATATCAATTAAAGTGAAATATTATATTCCCATTGAACATGTTTAATCTTGTTCATACATAGTTCTGTAAAGTCTATGACTATTTTTAAAATGGAAGTTAGCATTTAAACTAGTAATGATTTAAAAAAAAACAACACCAAAAAGCCTAATATCAAGAGCTTGTACTTACAACAATTTTAGGACATTGGTTTAAAACTTATTATAGGTAAGAGTTTGTTAGTCAGCATTAATGAAATGTAATGGAATCAATGCTCTGACTAACCTAACCAGTAGTAGTTAAAAGTATGTTTTGAATCTTTACACTGTGTAAGTGTGAATCATTGCTGACAATTAAAGTGCCAATTAAATGAACCAAAGCATTTCAATAAAGATCACCTTGAGCAAAATATAATTTCAACCACTAAGTTAATAAACTAAGTAATAAAGTATTATGTTATCTCTTACTTGTTATATTCGTCCTTACAGTCTTTGGTACTTGCCCAGGATACATCAAGTATAACAATGTTTGCTAGAGTTCCTGAATCAAGTCTCTCTTTTAACCATTCACATGATACAAGCTGTGGAACTTCCATTGTCTACTAGAATTTCCAGGAAAATACATATTAGATGTGTGTTTATAATGTTCTAAAATATAATGTAGTGCTCTTTTTTTATTCAAGCTATCTTCAATTGGTATTTGATTGGTCAGATATCAGCACAGAATGAACATTGACCAATAAAAATCCTAAGACATGAGATTGAGCTTAACAAATTGTTTATTAACTATGAGGCCAGATCAGACTCAGTACATTTACAGATGAAAATCCTGAGACTCAAGATATTCCTGAACAAATTGTTAATTAACCTTGAGGCCAGATCAGACTCAGTACATTTACAGATGAAAATCCTGAGACTCAAGATAGAGCTGAACAAATTGTTTATTAACCTTGAGGCCAGATCAGACTCAGTACATTTACAGATGAAAATCCTGAGACTCAAGATAGAGCTGAACAAATTGTTTATTAACCTTGAGGCCAGATCAGACTGTACATTTACAGATGAAAATCCTGATACTTAAGATAGAGCTGAACAAAATGTTTATTAACCATGAGGCCATATGAGACTGTAAATTTACAGATGAAAATCCCGAGACTCAAGATAAAGCTGAACAAAATGTTTATTAACCTTGAGGCCAGATCAGACTCAGTACATTTACAGATGAAAATCCTGAGACTCAAGATAGAGCTGAACAAATTGTTTATTAACCTTGAGGCCAGATCAGACTGTACATTTACAGATGAAAATCCTGAGACTTAAGATAGAGCTGAACAAAATGTTTATTAACCATGAGGCCAGATGAGACTGTACATTTACAGATGAAAATCCTGAGACTTAAGATAGAGCTGAACAAAATGTTTATTAACCATGAGGCCAGATGAGACTGTACATTTACAGATGAAAATCCCGAGACTCATGATAAAGCTGAACAAAATGTTTATTAACCTTGAGGCCAGATGATACTGTACATTTACAGATGAAAATCCTGAGACTTAAGATAGAGCTGAACAATTAACCATGAGACCAGAATGATGAGACTGTACATTTACAGATGAAAATCCTGAGACTGGAGATACAGCTCAGAAAAATGTTTTATTAATCTCAATGTCATTGACTCAGACTGGGCATATTAGGGTACAATGGTTTCAAATTGTACACATTGCATTTCATTTGCAAGTGCTGAAACAACTCATATGTGAGGATCAAACAGAAGCTTGGGATCAAGCATTTTAATGCATTAGTAACAGTTTTTTTAACAACTCAGCTAAAATTGTATTGAAATAAATTCTATTGATGGACATCTCAATATTTTCACACATGGGAGTCTCTGTATTATCGGCGTACTTAACGTTTTCTGTATGTCTGTATTGAATTTAATTGATGTTTATTTTAATAATGAATATTTTGTGTGAAGCAGAACAAATTCAACCATTCATTACATTTTTTATTGAAAAGAGGTCAAATATTTTTAACTTCACCACATATTATGACTGCACATGACAAAATACTAAGAGTATGTTAGTAATAGAGTTGCACAGATAATACAGAGTTAGACTTAAGAGTATAATATTTATTTTACAGTTTTATATCATTTTCAACTTGAAATGTGAAATATTTATGACAGATATGTACCCTACAAAACACATGAACCCTTTACCTAAGATATAATCCAAAATATACCATGGCTCATAAAATATGATAAATTACAGTCTACTTTAGCATAAATGTATTACATACATGTAAGGTTCACAAAGCACCCCATTAGATATGATCAATTAAGATGGTCATAAAAGTGCTGTCCATGAAAACCTTTTTTTTCTACAATTAAACTGAATTAAATGTAATGTGAACTACTTGTAAGATTTTACGACAGATTACACATGTAAACATTTAGTGAAAATTATGAAGGTCAAATTTATACACAGAAATTTTATACAGTAAACAAGCTGTGACTACATACCGGTATATACATGTACAGAAAACTTGTAAAACAGATGGTTCTTTTACCTGCAAAGTAGTTGGTTAGACAACTTGATTTTATGCTTCTATGTAGACACACTTTTCCATCAAAATAGCATTTTATAAAGGAGACTCTATCTTTACCCAACCTTATACCATCTTATCTTTTCACACTAGACACTTTTCCTGACCTTTAAGTTTAGATTAATCACTCAATGCAGTATTTAAACAGGTAAAACAGAAAAATATATTCTTACCTGTATAAAGTAATTCAACACTGAATATACCAGAGTCACAGATAGTTGAGCAAAATTGCTAACTCACTATGGTGATGTGTATGCTATTTATAGATATTAGTTATTAATAGCATTGGTGATTTCCATACATCAAGCTAAAAATAAAACTTTCAGGAGCGTGTTATTTGTTAGAAAATCAAACTGTTTAATAATTATGATAATTATGATTTCAAGTTCCAATGTTGCAGCGTTATTACTGCCTTCCTTTAAAACATGTAATCTAAAATTAAACACTAAATAAAAGATGGAAAATTTTACCTTTAATTATTACTTAATTAATCAAAGGTAAAGGACGAAGCCAGGTGTCAAATGATCTTCTGAACCTTCATGTTTATCACTGCTTATAGAGGAGTTAATCTGAATTCTGAATTTCTAATATACCCCTAAAAAAATCTTAAGAAGACTTATAATTGTCTTTTTTTTTTTCAGTCTGAATTTAATCATTTTTCGGGGAAATTTTCAAAACATTAATTTAGTATCAACTGAATAGTGGCATTGCAGACCATGATCATAATGAAATAAATCTGCCGGCTGATCTTGGTTTAGACTGTATGCAAGAGTAGATTCAGTTGGTAAAGCCAATTTCAAGTGAGGTGAATATAATTAGCAGAGGTTAAAAACCAGCGAAAATGATAATGCTCAATTAGTTTATTTTTATGGGGTTTTGATCCAATTAAGCTTTCTAAATGAATTAATATATGCCACTGTATCAAATCGATCTATTCTGCTCACAACTACCTTCAAATGAATTGGGGCAATCTACAGAATTATATTCTATATTATATAGGATTAATAAAAAAAAACTTGCAAGAGGTTCACAATTACCTTATGATAATTTGACTTTGCTTAGTTTGAGGCCAAAGACATTTTTTTAACACTTCTCAAGTTCAGATTTTATGTTTACAACACATGCCTTTATTTATGAACTGATTTTAATCACTAGACTCATTCGCAATCATTAATAATTTAGAAGCTATACTCCAGATAAGAAGTAACTTAAAGAATATAAATAAAGTAGAAATGTGACATCATGCCACGGATGCCCCCGCATGCAGCCAAAATTTCAGATGGTGCATTAATTTTTTTTTTTCATTTTAAGTTCAAAGCCCTTAAAACTTTTCAATGTTAACACAAACCATTTTCATACAATGTTCAAGGCACTGAAATTATTCAGTCTTAACCTTTTAAAAATAGCATATTGCAGATTTGTAGCCAAAATAATGGCGCTGAAACTGAAAGTTCAAAATTTTTCCAACATTCAGGAAAGATAAGTTTGTCTAAAATCATTGAACCACGACCAAATTCAAACTTAAACTGCTTATTCCTAAGATGTATCTTTATCACATAAACCGCGGCGCAGGAGTGTAATAAAGCCATTTAATAAAAATGATATTACACTAGTGTAATAACACTTTGACGTGACGTCATTTGCGCTATATAAAAACATAGCGTTAAAGCGCGCTAATGTAAGCGTTACACTATAGGCGCGTCGTTGAAAAATTACTGATTTTTACATTTTATTGTTCTTTTTTTTTATATTATGTGATAAATAGAATATTATATTCGTGTAGATTCAATACTAAATTTATTGAACTCGTTGAATAAAACAATATTATGCTCGCCAGAGGCTCGCATAATATGATTTTATTCAACTCGTTCAATAAATTTAGTATTAAACTACACTCATTCAATATCCTCTATATATTATTTTCAAAGTGAAAGGGACATAACTCTGCCAAAAAATCATCAAACCATGACCAAATTCCAACTTGACCTGCCCATTCCTTTGACATATCCATATGTCAAATATAAGTTGAATATGTAACACAGTATTGGGTAGATAATGAACAGAAACTGTAAATTTCATATTATTTTCAAAGTGAAAGGGGCATTACTCTGCCAAAAATCATTGAACCATGACCAAATTCGAACTTGGCCTGGGCATTCCAAAAACATATCCATATGTCAAATTTAAGTTGAATGTGTTGTACCATTAAGGAGATAATAAACGGAAACTGAAAATTTCATATTACTTTCAAAGTGAAAGGGGCATAAATCTGCCAAAAATCATTGAATCATGACCAAATTTGAACTTGACCTGCACATTCCTTTGACGCATCCATATGTCAAGTTTGAGTTGAATGTGTTGTACCTTTGGGGAGATAATGAACGGAAACTGAAAATTTCATATTGTTTTCAAAGTAAAAGGGGCATAACTCTGCCAAAAATCATCGAACCATGACCAAATTCGAACTTGACCTGTATTTTCTCATGACATATCCATATGTCAAGTTTGAGTTGAATGTGTTGTACCTTTGGGGAGATAATGAACGGAAACTGAAAATTTCATATTATTTTCACAGTAAAAGGGGCATAACTCTGCCAAAAATCATCGAACCATGACCAAATTCAAACTTGACCTGTATTTTCTCAAGACATATCCATATGTCAAATTTGAGTTGAATGTGTTGTACCTTTGAGGAGATAATGAACGGAAACTGATGATGACGGAATGACAGAATGACGGAAGGACGGAAGGACGGAACAGGGTAACACTATATGCCCCGGCCATTACATGGTGGGGGCATAAAAACAAGAGCTGTCAGTAGGAAAGCATGCTCCACTACTTTAAGTACTTGATAGTAAAACAAGAGCCTAGATCAGAGACATAGAGCACATCTACATGAGACTCTGCCTAGATACTGTAAAATTTTCTAAGTTTTAAATTCTGTCAAAATCTGTGTTATATTCATGGGTCTTGGACAGTGACCTCCAATTATGCATGAAGTTTCAACCCCTTCCCTTCAGTATTTCTTAGGTACCAACATGCATACAAAATCTTAATCGAGGTGTTACAGTGATGCCGACACTGGGATTAGTACAATAGTTATCCCTTTTCTTGGAAAAGTCAGAGTGAAAATAAGCAAGATAGAGTTAAGATTATTGGACACTGCACTTCATGTCACTGCTCTTTATTACTGTGTGAAGTTCTATTCCAATTCCTGCTAAACTTTTCAAATTCCTGCTATACTTCAAATTCCTGCTATACTTTTCAAATTCCTGCTATACTCTATACTATTCAAATTCCTGTTATACTTCAAATTCCATCTATACATTTCAAATTCTTGCTATACTTCAAATTCCTGCTATTCTTTTCAAATTCCTGCTATACTTTTCAAATATTCCTGCTATACTCTATACTATTCAAATTCCGGTTATACTTCAAATTCCAGCTATACATTTCAAATTCCTGCTATACTTTTCAAATTCCTGCTCCTGCTATACTTTTCGCTTTCCTGCTGAACTTTTCAATTTCCTGCTTTACTTTTCAATTTCCTGCTTTACTTTTCGAATTTGTGCTATACTTTTCGAATTCGTGCTATACTTTTCCATTTCCTGCTATACTTTTCAAATTCCTGCTATACTTTTGAATTCCTGCTATACTTTTCCATTTCCTGCTATACTTTTCAAATTCCAGCTTTACTTTTCAAATTCCTGCTATACTTTTCAAATTCCTGCTGCACTATTCAAATTACTCTCTTAATAAGTGTAACATTAATACAGACAAATAAATGGATTCTCTACTTTAGGGAACATGATGGGGTTATTTCTTTGATCACTTAAACCTTACAAGCAACCACTTTTTACCCTTTCAGCAACGTTTTTCTCCACAAGTACAGTCAGTATAGAATAAACATCAACATTTATAGTTTATAACCAAAGTGTGTGCAGAGGCACTGGCAGATGGAAGTAAAAACAAGGTGGCTACAATATGCTTTCCTTTCAGGGAAAATGAAAATATAGAATGTCTTAACATATGTTGTTTTCCATAATGAAACAATAAGAAACAAATGTGTTTTTTTTGTAAACAATTTAATACACATGTTTTTGGAAAATTTTCAATATTAGAACATATGAAACATTTAACAAAGTGCTTAAGTAACAACCTAAAATAACACCATATGCTTTAATAACATACATGTAATATTCCAATAATCTACTCTATTATTATGCTACAATAACAGTTAACTTCTGCTTCAACAACATGCTGTAATAAAATGATTTTTCTGTATGATACCCTAAAATTAAGTAATTAAATGAGCCACGTCATGACAAAACCAACATAATGGGTTTGCGACCAGCATGGATCCAGACCAGCCTGCGCATCCGCGCAGTCTGATGAGGATCCATGCTGTTTGCTTACAAACCCTATTACAAGTAGAGAAACTGATAGCGAACAGCATGGATCCTGATCAGACTGCGCGGATGCACAGGCTTGTCTGGAGCCATGCTGGTCGCAAACCCACTTTGTTGATTTTGTCATGACGCAGCTCAAATAATAATTTTGTGCACCACAAACACATGTATTTGGATCAAATGAAAGAACCATTAGATGAGTACAATTTGGATTTTTCACTTTTAGTAAGCAGTTTTTGTTCCACTCTTCCAAATACATAAAAGACCTTTCCATCACCATTAGAAACAAGCATTTGATAGTATTGCGGGCAATACAGTAGTCCCCTACCGGTCCCTCAAAAAGTTCTTTAATTGTCATACACTCCTGTATATTGCCATTTATAATGAATTTGAGGATGAAGTCTGTATTTGAAAATATCAACCACAAAACATAATAAAATAAGTTTGTCTATATCACAGTAATGTGTTAAGTTTCCATGCTTAATAAGGAAATTATGTTTATACAACCTTGTCATATTATTTAAAGTAAATCCTATAAGGAATGAAGAAGTTGGAGTGAAAATACCAGTTTCTCGAAAAAAATCTAAGTTCAAGGGGGACATAATTCTGGAAATAGTCTTGCTAGAGTATTTAACCTTCTCAAAAATGTCGAGTGATAATAAGAAACATATATATGAAGTTTGAAGTAGATACATTAGGAAATAAAGAAG